CGCCCTCTTCCCTTTGCTCCGAGCCACATGTGTGCTCTCGCCTGCCACCGATATCCCACCAGAGCACGGGTAAGCTCTGGAGGCCCGGCCTGGGTGTGGGGCCGTGGTCTGTGTGCCGGGGATGGGACCAGAGGCAGTGACCCGTGAGGTCGCCGCGAGCAGCCGAGAGCACCCGCAGAGCCACGGCCGAGCTGGCCGTCTGCACATAGCTGGGGAGCCCCGTCCCCTGAGGCTTGGGGGCACAGTCCGCATCCTGCAGGCCTGGCCGAGCCGGGTCCTGCTCCTGCTCTCGGCAGGACGTTGTGTAGCGACCCCAGAAACCCCGTCCACTCGGGGGCTAGGATCCTTAGTCACGGCATGGCGCCGCCTGGCCCCAGCTGCCCCCTCCATGGCGTCCACCGCTGCTTGCCGTGGGCGGCCCAGCCAGGGAGCCAGGTCAGGCTCCGAGGCATCCAGCGTTGCTGATTCATTTTTCCGGAGAGCTGGGGGATGGGGAGTTCTCCCTCTCGTCCCCAGGGAATGGGAGCCCTGCGCACGCCCCAGGACTGCAGCGCCCCATGGCAAGGATGTCCAAGAAGTGGGTCAGCGAGAGCAGAGCTGGACAGCTGAGAGCCCGGCCCAGGACGAGGTCTGCTCCGTCCAGGCACAAGTGACCCTCGGTGCTCTGGGGGCAGAGGGGGCCCCACGCTGGTCTCTGGGGAGCTTCCAGAGCTCAGCCTGCGGGAGCTGGCAGGGGTGGGGAGCTGGGCGTGTCGGCGCGTCTGCCTGTGATGGGTTTCGGCCCCCAGGACCCATGGGGAGGGCGTTGCCACCCCGCCAGCTCCACGGACCAGCCAGCTGCCAGGGCTGGTGCAGCTGCCAGGCTATTCGCAGGCCCAGGCCAAGTTCAGCACCAGGGACAGCGGCCCCGGTGCCTGCTCCCCTGGTCCTCTCCGCTTAGTCCTTGTCCTGGGCCCCTTTGATTGTCCTGGGCTGGCCGATGCGCACGTTTGTGCGATGCCTGTGGGCAGGGCGGCCGTGGCGCCCTGTGGAGGCTGGAGCCCTTCACCACCGTGGGCTCAGGTGGCCCCAGCACCCCTGGGCGTGCGCCTTGTGTCCTGGGCAGCTCCTCACGGAGCAGATCTCACCCTGGCCGGGCCTTTCACTGTCCAGCTCCACTCTCGCCGGCCCATTTCCTGCACATCCTTGTCGTGGGGTTGCTGCAGTCCCCAAGCAGCGCCCGGTCCGAGCCGGCGGCTCCTTGCTGCCGTGCGCCCAGCCCCCAGCGAGGCCACGTGCCCTGATCCGTGGCACCCTGTACTTTTCCTCTCTGCGTGAGCCTGTGCTGCGTAAAGACGGTAATTAGAGACAGAGTCTCAATTGGAAAATGAGCGCCCGCGAGCTGGAGGGCTGGTGACTGAGGGGGGTTGTGGCCCCCAATCCTGGGGGCTGCAGCTGAGCCGGGAAGGCCTCAGCCGTGCCCCCCCCCCCCGCTGCCTGCCCTCAGGGTGTGGTGGGAACGCTCAGCACCCAGATAGTCAGCTCCAGAGGACCCAGGTCTGAGGAAAACAGGTCAGAGAGGGCTGTGCTGCTGCCTGGGGCGTCACAGAAGCCTAGTCGGGGAGGGACTTCTTTACACGGGGCATCGAGGGGTGTGTAGGAGTCTTCAGGGCAATGACTTTCTGGGCAGAGGAGCTGCAAGTGAAGGAAGATGGAGTCAGGGGGTGAGCAGGGCTCTCCCTGCAGCCCTTGTTAGAGCCGTGGTGAGGCTCCTTCCCCTGAGCACAGCGGGAGCAGAGGCCCACGGCCCCCGCGGCCCATGCCCAGCCCAAGGCCGTGTTTCTGTCGCTGAGCCTGGTCCGGGAGGGCGCAGGGCGCTATGCCCTGTTCCTGGCTGTCATCTGCCAGCGTCTGAAACGTGTGTGCCGCTGGGTGGCGTGACCCCAGCTCTCTCATCGGAGAGGTGGGGGTGAGACAGGCCCCGCCCAGACCACACCTGGCACAGGTGGTGCCGGCAGCTTTGGCGGTCACAGGGGAGCAGCACCCTCATTTTACTGAAAACTTCTGGAAAGTTGGCCCAGGGCCGCCCTTGGGCTCCTGCTAGCCTTTTTCTTTATTTTGAGACAGAGTCTCGCTCTGTCACCTGGCTGGAGTGCAGGGCTGTCCCTGTAGCTCACTGCAGCCTCCACCCCCTGGGCTCCAGTGATCCTCCCGCCTCGGTCTCCCAAGTAGCTGGGACTGCAGGCCCCACCAAGCCTGCCTCCCTCTGGCTTCCATACCCACTTCCTTTCCTTTTCTGGAAGCAGGAGCACGTCGTCCCATGGGAATGCTGGCTCCTGTCACTGAGAGGTGTGCGTGGGGGGAGTGTGCATGTGTGTGTGCGTACTGGGTGTGTGTATGCCAGATGTGTGTACACGTGTGTGCACTGGACATGTGTGTGCATACGTGTTTATTACGTGTGCACACTGGGTGTGTGTGTTTATGTACTTATGCACACTGGACGTGTGTGCGTGTTTGTGTACGTGTGCACACTGGACTGTGTGTTTATGTACATGTGCACACTGGGTGTGTGTGTGTTTATGCACTTATGCACACTGGACACGTGTGCGTGTTTATGTACGTGTGCACACTGGGTGTGTGTGTGTTTATGTACTTATGCACACTGGACGTGTGTGCGTGTTTATGTACGTGTGCACACTGGATGTGTGTGTTTATGTACATGTGCACACTGGGTGTGTGTGTGTTTATGCACTTATGCACACTCGATGTGTGTGTTTATGTACGTGTGCACACTGGACGTGTGTGCGTGTTTATGTACATGTGCACACTGTGTGCATGTTTATGTACATGTGCACACTGGACGTGTGTGCATGTTTATGTACGTGTGCACACTGGACGTGTGTGCGTGTTTATGTACATGTGCACACTGTGTGTGTGTTTATGTACTTATGCACACTGGACGTGTGTGCATGTTTATGTATGTGTGCACACTGGATGTGTGCGTGTTTATGTACCTGTGCACACTGGGCGTGTGTGCATGTTTATGTACGTGTGCACACCGGACATGTGTTTATGTACATTGCACACTGGGCGTGTGTGTGTTTATGTACGTGTGCACACTGGACGTGTGTGTTTATGTACATGTGTACACTGGATTGTGTGCACATGTGTATGTGTGTGCACTAGATGTGTGTGTTTACGTGTGCGCTGGACTGTGTGCACTGGACGTGTGTGCGTGTGCTCCATTCCTGCACCGGTTCCTGCTTCTCCGTGGCCAGCGCCCTCCTGCCGTGGCCAGCTACTGGGCGTTTCTCGTGGTCCATTGGGCCACGCCGTCAGCTCAGGGCAGCTGGGAGCTGTCCGCTGTGCCGTAATGAGTCAGTGCCCACCTGCCCTCAGGTGCCGTCTCCCGCCTCCCGGCCTTGCCCTGTGACGTCCTGGGGGCAGAGGGCCAGCTCTCTGTCCTTTGGGGTCTTGGGACCCTCCTGGGGGCTGTCTGGGTCATGGTTTGTAACCCACCGCCGTCTCTGCTGCGCCATCCCGGGAGTTTGCCTTGCAGGTTTGAGGGACTCGTTCCCCTCAGGGTGAGGCTTTCGTCCCTGGTCACGCTGCCTTCGTGTGTGTCATCAGCCTTCCAGCCTTGCTGGACGGGGTGCTCCTGCTGTTTGCCGTGTGTGGGGGCTGAATCCTGCCGCCAGGCGCCTCCTGGCCTGGGGTGCAGGTGGCCTCTTGTCTGGGGAGGGGCCTCCTGGCCTGGGGTGCAGGTGGCCTCTTGTCTGGGGAGGGGCCTCCTGGCCTGGGGTGCAGGTGGCCTCTTGTCTGGGGAGGGGCCTCCTGGCCTGGGGTGCAGGTGGCCTCTTGTCTGGGGAGGGGCCTCCTGGCGTGCCCAGGTGCCCTGGTGCCCTGGCGAGGAGGTGCAGGGTCCGGGCCAGCCCTGGGCTGGGGCAGCAGCGCATCCTGGAGGTGGTGGTGGTGTCGCTGGGCTGCAGCCGCCGCCCGCCCGGCCTCCCAGTCCCTGGGCATCTGTGTGGGGCAGGGACGTGTCTTCCACACAGGGTTCTGGCCCCCGCCTGGCCCACCCACCCACCTGGGGGCGGCAGGACCGTGGGCAGGAGACGCACGGGCCTCAGTGAACCCAACCACGCAAGAGGCAGAGTAGAGCCCAGGCCGGTGACAGGGCGGGGAGTGCACTGCAGGTGCGTGTGACGGAGGTTTAGCTCCCGTGCCACCAAAAGGCTCTTGCCAGCCGCTGGGGGGACGCACACGCAGGTGCGCACGCCAGCTAGCACGAAAGCGTGGGGAGGGGACGAGCGAAGAGCAAACCACGCCGTGGCATTGCGGGAAGGTGCCCGGCGTCACCGTTTGGTGGCGGCAGTGAGGTTCCGCCTGGAGCCACGGCAACCTTCTGCAGTGGACGTGGCTCCCGTAGCCCACGGAGCCGGCGTGGCCTGGAAGGAGCCTCGTCCGTTGCGGCCAAGTGCAATCCGGGCCAGGCTCCGTGTGCGTGTGACCCTCGCGGGCAGAGGCTGTGACAGCACGGCCCCCACACACCTGGGACCCTCGCGCGGGGCGAGGACAGCGGGAGGCCCGGGCGGGAGCCCAGTGTCAAGGCCACAGCTCAGGCCGGTGGGGCTTCAGTGGCAGCAGCTGGGCGGTGGTGGCCTGAGGTCCACGAGGGAGGGGAGGTGGGTGTTGGCCGTGGCACACGGAAGGCAGGGACATCTCCGCAGGTGGGGGTCTCGGGTGGCCCTGTGGGGACGGCCTCCTGGGACGGGGCGGGAACGAGGCAGGGGCTGCCCTGGCCCCCCGGCTGGGTGCACTGAAGGCCTGGGGAGGGGCTCGAGGAGGCGGAAGGTTCGTGGGAGGAGAACGTGGCAGGGGGGCCGGTGGCCCTGAGCTGCCCCAGACAGCGACCAAGGGCTGGGGGCAGCAGGCCCGGCGGGGACCCCCCAGGGTGCAAGGTGGGCGCAGCCACGGCCGGGGTGGGTCTGAGCCCGGCCTCCCCCCTCCGCCCCCCGCAGGCCTGGTGAAGCTCGGGATCCACTGTGTCACGTGCCAGAAGGTCGCCATCAAGATCGTCAACCGAGAGAAGCTCAGCGAGTCTGTGCTGATGAAGGTGAGACGCCGCCCAGCCAGCTGGGGGGACCTGCCACCCCGTCACATGGGCTCTTGTGGGGGGGGGGCATCCCTGCCCCTCGCCCCACCCTGCCTGCATCCTTCCTGCCTCCACACGGCAGCAGCCCCTGCTGGGGCCAGGACAAGGGAGAGGCCGGCAGCCGGTTCCCCCAGTTAGAAAGGAGAGGAGGCCCCTCCCGTCAGGGCCAGGCAGGGACGCTGCCCTCCTCCTGTGCTGGGGGCCTTGCCTTGTGGGATGTGGTCACCATCGGGGACGGGGCAGTCCCCGCACAGTGGAGGCAGCTGAGGACCCCCCGACTGTCAGCGGGTGGGGGGGCTTCCCAGGGCAGCCTGACCCTTACAGGGGGCAGTGTCCAGCTCCCAGACCCTCGGCTTCCTGGCCACACTCAGGCCTGGGTCGCCGGGACCTGGCGGGGGGCGGGGGGTGGCATGCTGGGGACCCCGTCACAGAGGCTGTGGCTGAGGCCCTGGACCTTCTGGGTGGCTCATTGCTTCTCCCCCAAGTGCAGGGCTGGGGCTGCCTGGGTGGGCAGGAGCAGCAGGTGGGCGGGAGGGAGAGCCAGTTAGGTCTTTACAGACCCCGGCCACGGAGGACGGGGGCCACAGGGGCAGCGGTAGGTCAGACGGCTGAACAGGGACCCAGGGAGAGGCAGGTTCTGAGGAGGAGCTGGGCTCCTCGTGGCCCATGGAAGGAACAGTGCGGAAAGGGGGCCCCACCTGGGGTGCAGGTGCCACAGCTGCTCATCTGCCCTGTGCCCAGCTCAGAAGCAGGACTGGGCATCCTCTGTGCCCCTCTGCCCCTCCCTGGGGTGCAGTGCCAGCTGGAGACCTGTGGGGGGGCACAGCCTGCCCACGGAGCCCCACGCGTGTGTCCTCCCCAACCCAGGAGTCTGCCTAGACCCCTTCTCCTGGGCTTCCCACGGCGGGAAAGGACTGAGCCCAGGCTCCCGGGCAGCTGGCGCAAGGACAGTCTCGTGGGCCCAGGACAGCCACCGGCCCTCTGGCTGGAGGCCTGGAGACCGGCTCTCCCCAGTCTCGGGGCTGCACCCCTGCAGCCACGGCCCAGCGGGCAGGGTGGGCCTCAGCCAGGGCTGGTGTCAGCTGACCTACCCCCACCCCCACACCCCGGCCCCCTGGCCCTCACACCTCTGCCTCCGCCACCAGCCGAGCGGCCCCACATGCAGCCCCCACCCCCGCCCCTGCCCGTGGGTGACGCCCTCCGGTCTCTCCCAGGTGGAGCGCGAGATCGCCATCCTGAAGCTCATAGAGCACCCGCACGTTCTGAAGCTGCACGACGTTTATGAAAACAAAAAATATTTGTAGGTATTGCTGGGTCCGGAGAGCCGGGGAGGCAGGGGCCGTGGCGGGCAGGGGTCCACAGCCCCACTGGCAGGGTTGGGGAGTGCGTCTGCAGTGCCACGGAGATTGGGGGTCTCAGTCCAGGCCGCAGCGGGGGTGGGGGGTGCTGCCCCACTGGCAGGGTTGGGGAGTGCGTCTGCAGTGCCATGGAGATTGGGGGTCTCAGTCCAGGCCGCAGCGGGGGTGGGGGGTGCGGCCCCACTGGCAGGGTTGGGGAGTGCATCTGCAGTGCCACCGAGAGGCGGCGGCGGTCTCGGCCCGGGCCACGGGGGGCCCCACTCCTGGACCAGGCCCGTGGCCAGCTCTGTGGGGGCTCACATAGCTGCCGGCTGGACGCACAGGAGGGGACGGGCTTCCTAGGGCTGGGGGACTGGGGACCTGGGGTCGAGGGGCAGGAACATAGGCCCTGCACCCCACCATGCCCCACCCCAGCCTGGGCCCTGCGACCCCACGGCTGCAGGGCCAGCGGAAACCTGCCCAGGCCCGGGTGGGGGCCCCGGCAGCTCTTGGGGGGGGGCTGCAGCAGTTGCCCGCCGGGCAGGGCCCCTGGATGTGGGGCCCGGGGAGGGTCAGTGCAGGGGCTGCTGCCGGCCCTGGGTCCTCTGCCCTGGGGTCTGCCTGGGGACCCAGCCAGGTTCCATGCCCAGCTGCCCCAGCAAGCAGCTCGGCCTCCTGGGCCTCAGTTTCCCCGCTTCTGTGGGGCCAGCTCCCGGCACGCAGCGTTTGAGGATCCCGAAAGATGTAGGGTAGCCTGGCTGTGGGCAGGCCCCCGTCCTTGTCACTGTGGGCCTGGGGGACGGGGGCAGGGCAGGGCAGGGTCAGCACCTGCACCTCCCCTGCTCCTGGGGTCCGCGGCCCGGCGGTACACCTCACTGTGTCCTGGTGCTGTCCTGGGAGCTTGGGGACAGGGGTCGGGACAGGCACCGCCCACATAGCAGTGCAGGACCAGTCACTTCCTCACGCTACCATGTGAGGCGTGGGGACAGCATGGGGTGACTGCAGCGTGGAGGGCAGGGCTAGGGTGCGAGTGGGCGGGCTCGGCCAGCAGAGGCCTGGGATGGATCAGGAAGGAGCCAGGGCTGGGTGGACCCAGTGCCGGCCCCAGGCCCCCTCCCTCGGGCAGCCCCGCCCCCACCACGGACACAGACCCATTTGGGCTGCGTGGAGCCTTGGGCCCTTCCTGCCCGGAATCCCACCCAGGGGCCCCTCTCTGCCCCCACAGCTACCCCGAGTGTCAAGGCCCCACACCCTGGTCCTGCATGCCCTCCCCGGGGACTGGCCCCTCAGGCCCTCACCTGGCCAGACCCCAGGGCAGGGAGGCTGCCCGCCAGTCTGCTGCTCACGGGCAGCTCAGGGGAGCGCAGGGCACTGTGGGGAGGCACCACCGGACACCTCCTCTCCCTGACCCCAGTGCCCCTTGCCACACTGCACCCCGCCTTGCACCTCGGCCCCCTGCACAGCAGCCCTGTGGGCCTCGGGCCTCGGTGCGGGGCCCAGAAGGCGTGAGAGGTGGTCTTGCTTTGCAGGCCAGGCGCGTCCCGAGGCTGGCAGGACGATGCCCGCCCTTGGCCCCAGAGCACTGGCCGTGCTCAGCCAGAGAGCCAAGGCTGTCCCCAGCCACTGACCGGCCCTAGTCCAGTCCTGCTGGGGGACAGCCCCAGCCTCCCCCAGGGCCTCTGCAAACACCTGTCTTCCGAGACGCCTGTTAGGGGGGCCGCCCAGGAGCCCGGGGCATTTGAGGCCCCCCCTTCTCTAAGGCTCCAGTACCCCGGGCTCCTCTGGGCCCTGTGGCAGGGTGGAGGCCGGGCGGTGCAGCGGGAGGCTGCCGCACAGCTGGACACAGTGATGCCCGCCTGTCTCCCGCAGATACCTGGTGCTAGAACACGTTTCCGGCGGGGAGCTCTTTGACTACCTGGTGAAGAAGGGAAGGCTGACCCCCAAAGAGGCTCGCAAGTTCTTCCGTCAGATCATCTCGGCGCTGGACTTCTGCCACAGCCACTCCATATGGTGCGAGCCCTGCCCCGGGCGCCCCTCCCCTGGGTGCCCCGTCAGCGCCTGTGCCGTGGGGTGGGCAGTGCGTCCTTGGCCCCCCCTCCAGGGGCCTCAGGAAGGTTCTGCCAGGTGACCCCCCCAAGGGCTGTGGGATGCTCCTTGGGATTGACAGGGGTCCGGCCAGTCATGTGGGGTCATCCTCTACCAGGGCAGGTGCCCCTGAGGGTGGCTGGGGGCAACCAGGGAACTGGCCCCAGGACCGGGTCCAGAGGCCAGGCAGGCACCCTGTGATTGGCTGCCTGTGACATCACCAGGCTGGGCTGCCATTGGCCGGCTGTGTGAGTTGGAGGTGGGGGAGGGGCGGGGGTCTCCCTTCCCAAGGCGCCCAAGTCAGCCCCCCAGCCTTCCTCCCCAGCCACAGGGATCTGAAGCCCGAAAACCTGCTGCTGGATGAGAAGAACAACATTCGGATCGCGGACTTTGGCATGGCGTCGCTACAGGTGGGCGACAGCCTGCTGGAGACCAGCTGCGGGTGAGTGGCCCTCCCGCCAGGGCTCTGCGGGGCCTGGACAGCTGGGCGGACCCCTGGGTGTGGGCGTGGACGCCTGGTCGGGGGCGCAGACCCCTGGGAATGGGAGGAGGACCCCTGGGCCTGTGCGCTGACCCCGCAGGGATGGGGACCCCTGGGCCAGGTGCAGTGGGGTGGGGGCAGACTGCCCTGCCCTGGAAGACTGCCCCACTCCAGGGCTCCTGACCGGCCTGGGTTAAGGCAGGGTCCGCTGGGCCTCCTGGTGTCCACTCGTGGCTGTGGGGGCTGGCCCTATGGGCTCTCAGGCTCCCTGGCGCGGTCTCCCCACAGGACTACGGGGGTCTGGGTGCACCGTGTACAGTGGTAGGGGCGTGGGAGCAGGTCCAGGCAGGGCAGGTGGACAGGCCTGGTTGCAAGTCCTGAGCCTCTGTCCCCGACCCGCTCGCTGCTTTTGCCTTCAGGTCCCCCCACTACGCCTGCCCGGAGGTGATCCGGGTGAGTAGCCGCAGACAGCCCTGGGCCCGCTGGGCGAGACCCTGGCCCCCTCCGGCCCTGGCCGGTCCCTGGGCCGACTTCCCCCAGACCCTCTGCCGGGGCCCTGGGACCCCGAGCCCTGCGCGCGCCAACGCCCGGACACTGCTGTCTGCAGGGGGAGAAGTACGACGGCCGCAAGGCGGACGTGTGGAGCTGCGGCGTGATCCTGTTCGCCCTGCTGGTGGTGAGCCCGCTGCCTCGGCCCAGCCCCACCTGTCCAGGCCCCGCCCCAGCTCGCCCCGCCCTCCGCCCCGCCCCGCCCCCACCGGCCAGGCCCCGCCCCGGCTCATCCTAGGCCCCGCCCCCGATGTGGCCAGGGGCCGCCCCCGGCCAGGCCCCGCCCCAGCTCACCCTAGGCCCCGCCCCCACGGGCCAGGCCCCGCCTTCCAGTTGTCTCGCCCCCCCATGTGGCCAGGCCCCGCCCCCGCCCTATTCCCCACCCGCGCTCCCGCCGCAGGGAGGCGGCTGCCGTCGACGATCGACAGCCTGCGGCATGTGCTGGGGGTGTAGGTCAAGGCGGGCGCTGTTCCACATGCCGCACTTCATCCCGCCCGACTGCCAGAGCCTGCTGCGGGGTGCGTTATGATCGAGGGGGTGACGAGATGCGTCGGCCGCGCCCTCTCACGGCGTGCCGCGCGCGCCCATCCGTGCGCGCCGCCCCTGCCCACTGCCGCGGCGCCGCTGCCGGCCCCCAGGGCTTCTCGGGTGTGGCTGGGTGTCCCCCGTTGCCTGTGGAGCAGTGGCGACGATGTGACGGTGCTGGTTGCGCCAGGTGCGTTGTGCGCACTGTCCAGGAGTTGCGTAGGAGATGCCCAGAGTGGTTTTGGGACATGGCGCGTACAGCGTGAGTGGCATGCTGACCCAGCCGTGGTCGGTGGGGCACTGCCCAGGTGGTGTCTGTCAGGGTGGTGCTGGGGTGGATACAGGTGTGGGGCAGTGCCGAGTATGTGAGGGTCGTGTATACAGCGGCGTGTGCAGCTGCCCAGGTGGTGACGGGTGCGGGTGGTGATGACAGGCGAGTTGGGGCACTGCCCAGTGGTGAGTCGTGTAGTAACAGGGAGTGGGGCACGTGCCCGTCAGTGTGGCTGAGGGGTCTTGTATACCAGGCGAGTGGGCACTGCCCAGGTGGTGTGGTAGGGGTCGCTCGGTATACAGGCGAGTGGGGGCAGTGGCTGGCCCAGGTGATGTGCAGCCGGTCGTGTGATACAGGCGAGTGGACTGCCCAGGTGTGTTGAGGTGTGGGGGGGGTAAGCGTGGTATAAGCGAGGTGCGGCACTGCCCAGGTGTGTAGGGTCATGTATACAGGCGAGTGGGGCACTGCCCAGGTGTGTAGGGAACATGCCCAGGTGCATGAGAGGACGCGCCTACAGGTGAGTGAGGCACTGCCCAGATGTGTGGGGATGTGCCTACAGGTGAGGGGGGCACTGCCCAGGTGTGTAGGGTCGTGTATACAGATGTGTGGGGCACTGCCCAGGTGTGTAGTAGGGTCGTGTATAGGGGTGTGTGGGACATTGCCCAGGTGTGTCAGGTCATGTATATAGGTGTGTGGGGCATTGCCCAAGTGTGTGTGTGTATGAAGGTCTGTGGGAGAGCGTGCACAGGTGTGTATGTACAGGCGTGTGTGACCTTGTGGCAGGTGTGTGTCCGGGCACGCAGGTAGGTGGCGTGGGTGGGTGTAGCACCGGTCTGAATGGGCATGGATGTGGGAGTGGCACACAGGCGGGTGACAGACCTGTGCCCCTACGTGTGCTATGGCAATGGGGATCCCCCATCACGGCCATCCTGCTGTGGCACTCCAGGGCACGAGCTCAGGGCAGTGTGCTTAGTCCTCTGAGTGACAGCCTCAGCTGTACAGGTGGGCAGGCTAAGGCCAGCCCCCGGCCGCTCCTCCCGGCTGCCTCCAGGGCTGTCCGGGGTCAGGACAACACATGCCAGGCAGGACAGCAGACTACCCTTCGAGCTGTGCCCAGTCAGGGTGGACCAGGGGCCACGTAGCTGGCAGCCCTCCCAGCCTCCTGCTCGCACCTGCACCCAGCCCTGCCCCTACCACACAGGTGGGCCCGGCTGCTTCCCTGCTTCCTGCCTTGGGTCCTGCCTGGAGCCGGGGCCACCAGGGGCCACCGCTTCCCGCCTTGCCTCTTTCTCCTTACCCAGGCCCCTGCCCTGCCTGGAACCCCCTCCTGGCTCCTCTCCTCCCCAAAGCTGCACCTCCTCCTCCTGAGGAGTGGGCAGGGTGCTGGCCAGGTCTGGGGCGCAGCCCCCTTGCTGCCCACCCCTCCTCTGCCCTCCCCTCTGCTCTGTCCGCGGCACCCCTCCGTCACCTCCTAATGCGGGCTCTGTCCCCTCCATACTAACTCCCTGTTTCTCTTTCCTTGTAGCTAGAGCACATTCAGAAACACATATGGTATATGTAAGTAGCTTTTCACCCACTAATCGCCTGCTTTGCCTGTCGCTGTGGCCTGGAGGCCCTGCTAGGGACGGCGGGGGGAGGGCGCCGCCAGCGCAGGCCCTGCCCCCGCCTCGGCCGCCCTGGCGCGGGTGCGGGGTGCGGGCAGGACGCAGGAGGCCCGCAGGGCCGGTGCAGGGAGAGCGCAGGACTCGGGCCAGGTGCGCCAGGTGCGGGCAGGCCTCCGACCCTCCTGGCCGCCTTGGGGGAGGAGCCTCCGGCCCGCTGCAGGTGAGTGACGCGGCCGGGCCCTGTGTCCACAGAGGGGGCAAGAACGAGCCAGAACCGGAGCAGCCCGCGCCCCGCAAGGTGCAGATCCGCTCGCTGCCCAGCCTGGAGGACATCGACCCGGACGTGCTGGACAGCATGCACTCGCTGGGCTGCTTCCGCGACCGCAACAAGCTGTTGCAGGACCTGCTGTCGGAGGAGTGCGTGGGCCCAGGCCGGGCGGGCGTGGGGGGCGTGCGCGGGGAAGGGGCGCACGTGCCAGCGCCTCGCATGTCACCCGGCAGGGAGAACCAGGAGAAGATGATCTACTTCCTCCTCCTGGACCGGAAAGAAAGGTACCCCAGCCAGGAGGACGAAGACCTGCCCCCGCGGAATGAGATAGGTACGCCCGGGAGCCCCGCCCTGCGCCCCGCGGGCTCGTGCCCCGGCTGAGCCCCGTCTGTGCGCAGACCCTCCGCGGAAGCGCGTGGACTCCCCGATGCTGAACCGGCACGGCAAGCGGCGGCCCGAGCGCAAGTCCATGGAGGTGCTCAGCGTGACGGACGGCGGCTCCCCGGTGCCCGCGCGTCGGGCCATCGAGATGGCCCAGCACAGCCAGAGGTGCGTGCGCCCAGCGCTTCCCTCCCTGGTCGCCGCTGGGATGCGAGCCCGGCCCTGCGCGGGGCGGGGAAACGGGCGGGGCTGGACTGCGAGCACCTGGATTGGTTCCGGCTGGGCGCAGCTGCTCGGGGCTGGGCCGGACTGAATTGATTGCACCTGGGCTGAGCTGAACTGGGCGCAGCTGGGTTTGGTGGGCCGGCTCGGCTGAACTGGGCGCAGTTGGTTGGGGCTGGGTTGGGCTGAGCGAAGTGGAACTGGGTGGGGCTGGGCTGAGCAGGGCTGGACTGGGTGCAGCTGGGCTGAGCTAAACTGGGCACAGCTGGTTGGGGCGGGGCTGGGCTGAGCAGGGCTGGACTGGGTGCAGCTGAGCTGAGCTAAACTGGGCACAGCTGGTTGGGGCTGGGTTGGGCTGAGCTGGGCTGGGCGGGGCTGGGCGGGGCTGAACTGAACTGGCTGCAGCTTGGCTGGGTTGGGCTGAGCTGGGCTGGGCTGACCTGACTTGAGCTTTGTTTGGCTGAGCTGCAATGTGATCACACCTTGTTGAAGCCACCAGCTAGGAGTCTGTCCCCACCTGATGGGTGCAGCTCTGGGTGGCCAGTGGCAGTGTGTGTGGGCCAAGAAGTGGAATCTGGGGCTGATGGGAAGGTCTGGGCTGCCCCACACGTTCCCTGGATGGATGGAGGCTCCCAGGCTCTGCAGAGCCTCCGTGGCCAGGGCTGGGCTGGGCTGGGCTGGGCTGGGCTGCAGGAGGTCCTCAGCAGACCTCTGGAGCTGGTGCAGCCTCTCCAGGGCAAGCCTCCACCTTCCCCGAAACCTGGGGCCAGCCTTGGGGCCTGTGGCCACCACTCATGTGTCCTAGTAGGCCTGGCCACCTTTGGGCGCCCTCCCCGAGTGGGATCTGGGTGCTGCGGCAGGGCCGGCATGCTCCTGAGGAATTTGCCAGGAACTGTGGGGAAACCACAAGGCAGCTGGTCGGCCGTGAGGACAAACTGCTGGGTCTCCAGCCCTGACCCTGGTGCTGGTGGCCCCAGCCCATGGCCCGCAGGCCACAGCCCCCTGGTAGTCCCGGGTCCTCCCCGGGGGTTCTGGGCTAGCCCAGCCTCCAATGTGGGGTCCCTCCAAGACCTCCTTCCGAAGGTTCTCCAGCAAGTCCGGGCCACTGCCCTGGGCTGCTGGCACAGTCTGCCACCCTGGTCTCGCTCTGGCACCTTGCTTGTCCAGGGCACACGTTGCCCCGGCAGGACCCCTCCCGGTGGCCCAGGTGCCCACTTCCTGCCTGCGTGGCTGCCTCTCTGTGGGCTCCCTGACCCTGCAGTGCAGGCTGAGGACTTGAGTCCAAGACCCCCCCCCACACTGCCTGGCTTCAGGCAGGGGCAGGGGAGGCCAGTGTCTGGTCTCCAGGCCCGGCCGCCTTGGGGCGGGGTACTGGGGAGGTGTGGACCCTCCCGGAAGCCTCTGGAAGGCCATTTGTTCTGGCATGCCACACCCAGTCAGCAGGGACCCTAGTCGCTTGGCCTTGGACCTCCCAGGGCCATTGGCTGGGTGGAGGGGCAGCGGGGGCTGGGCATCCCCCCCTAGCCAGGCCAGGCCACCTGCCCCGCAGGTAGCCCAGGGTGGGGTACGCTGTGGCCCCAGGGCTCCCTGCCCAACCTCCTCCCTTGCCGTCTGTGCGCTGGCCTCAGACCTGCGTGGAGCTCTCGCCCGGTTTGGCCCGGGCCCGGTGGCTGGCCTGTGCCAGTGTGGCCACGTCGGTAACTCTGTTTTCTTGCTTTGTTCCTGCTGTAGTAAAGCAGTGTTCAGTAAAAGCCTGGATATCGCTGAGGCCCACCCCCAATTCAGCAAAGAAGACAGGTACACACCCTGACACGCGCCCCGCACCTCCCAGCCCCGGAAGCTGTCCCTGCCTCCAGCTGGCAGACAGGCGGGCCTGGTGGCGGGGCCGGCTCTCAGATGCCCCGGGCAGTGGGCCTATCCGGCGAGCCAGGGCAGAGCCTGGGCCGGGCTCCGCAGAGGCCGATGGTGGGCGCTGGTGAGGCCGGCGGCCAGCCCACGTGCGGCCCCACAGCCACAGCTGCCACAGGGACCCACTGTGCCATACCTCCTTGCCACGCCGACCCTCGTCCCATGTCCTCCTGCCCAAGGTCGGAGCAGCCGCTGCAAGGGCCGGGCCGCCCGGGCCCCAGCCAGGCGGGTGGTGCTGCTCCTCGGGCTGCTGCCCGCTCACTGGCCGTCGGGCTCGGGCCGGCCCGGTCCCTGCCGGGCTGCCCCCAGGGCTTGCGCCGTCTTTCCTGCCTCGGCAGGGATAGCTCAGAGTCCCCATTCGTGGCTCCCCACCCGGTCCTCCAGCTACTTCTTTTCTGCTTTTCTGGTGCCAAGTGACAAGCTCCCGGCTGGTTCCGCAGGAGGCCCTGGGCCTTGCTCCTGGCTGCTGCCTCTGGTGGGGCCGACCCTGGCTCCCCGCTCAGCTCCCGAAAGCTTTGGGCCCAGCCCTGGCCTTGGGGGGCCGTCCTGGCCCAGGCAGGCTGAGCCGGCCCCGTGGGGGCACCGCCGCCTCTAGCCCCTCGCCTGTGTGGGGCTGGGGAGCTGGAGGGTATCACTGTGGAGGCCTCAAGCTGGTTTTTACTCTTTCCATCCTCTTCACTCCTGCGTTCCCTCTGCCTCTTCCCTCGTGTCCTTCCTCAGAGGGTGGCAGGTGCCGCTGCCCAGGGCCGAGCAAGAGGCGCTTGTGCTCTGGGGTGCGGTGGAGCTGCCAGCCCCGGCCCTGCCCGGGGACAGCGGCCGGCCTGCCTCTCTGCCGGGTGCGCCAGGCCGGGGCCTCCCTCCCGCTGGGCCGGGCCAGACCAGGTCTCCCGCCAAGGGGGTGGTGGCAGGGGGAGGCCCCGTCGGCCCTGCCTGGGCCCTCGAGGTGCAGGCTAAGGCAGGCCGAAGGCTGGCCCCGGCGTCTCTTGTGGGCAGCTGTGGGTGCGGAGGGCTGGGCTGGTGGCCCACGTGGTGACAGCCCAGCTCGGAGGCCGGCCAGGCTGGGGCAGCAGGCCCTGGGGCAGAGGACCCAGCGTAGGGCCTAGAGCAGGAGGGGCTGGAGCCACAGCAAGTCCCAACTTGTCCCCCCGTCCCTCTGCCTTGCTGAAGGCCCCAGGTCCACACCCCGTGGTGTGCTGGGGAGGGCCCGGTCCAGCCCACTGGGCTCTGACAGACAGCCCTGGGCACGCAGGCGTCAGGCCCTCCCTTGGGGCAGGGCCTGGTGAGCCCCCGCCTCTTGGAGGGGCCCCCACCGAGTCGCGGCCCTGCCCTGTGTCCTAGGTCGAGATCCATCAGCGGCGCGTCCTCAGGCCTGTCCACGAGCCCGCTCAGCAGCCCCCGGGTGAGTGCCCTGCCGGTGCCCGCCATGGGCTGCATGCCTCGTCCGTCCGAGTGTGCCAGGGAGGGGGGCAGGCTGCCGGGGCCCCCCTGGGAAGCTGTCCCCACCTGCGTGCACAGGCGCGGGGCTTGGGCTGCTCTTGCTAACTGCATGTCTTTTGTTTTGTTTTCTTTTTGTTTTCTCGTCCGTCACCCGTTTTCCTTTGTGGCAAACCCTCCCCCCGCCACGCTTGCCACCTCCCCTGCCGGCCCATCTCGGGGTCCTGCTCGAATGTCCCTCTGGTCCTGGGGGGGCGGGTGCCGTGTGTGCATGCGGGGCGGGTGGGGCTCTCGGGGCGCGTGGGGCGCGGTTTCCCCCCCCCACCGCCTGCTGCCTGCATCTCCCGTAGCCTATTAGAAAGTTCATCCTGCCCCCCCCAACCCCCACGCCGGCCTCCCCGGCCTGCCCCCCGGCCACCTCCACGGAGCCCGAAGCTTGTCGGAGCACCTCTCGGCCCGGACACGCCCTCCCTCCGCAGGCCGCCCCGAGGCCCAACCCCAAGACCCAGACCTTGCCGTGCAAGGCCAAGCTGACCGACAAGCCTCTGCAGGGCACCAAGTCCAACCCGCTCCCCGCCGGCACCCAGGCCCGGCCCCCCGCCGGCTGCCTGGGCTCCCAGCTGGCCCTGGGCCCCGGCCCCACCCGGCTCCCGCCCACCGGGGCTGAAGCAAACACCAAATCTGTCCCCACCATACAGGTGACCCCTCACCCCTCACCGAGGGGCAGTCCCCTCCCTACCCCCAAGGGGACGCCCGTGCACACGCCAAAGGAGAGCCCGGCCGGCACGCCCAACCCCACGCCGCCGTCCAGCCCCAGCGTCGGTGGGGTGCCCTGGAGGACGCGGCTCAACTCCATCAAGAACAGCTTCCTGGGTTCGCCCCGGTTCCACCGCCGGAAACTGCAAGGTGAGCCCCCCCCCCAGGCACTGTGGGGGAGGGGCTGCTGGCGGTACCGGCCTCTGCATGCTGCCAGCAGGGTGGGCCTCCATGCCGCATGGCGGCGCCTGGGCCCCTGTCTGCCCCGCTGCCCCCTGTGCCCTCGACCGCCCGTCCTCCCAGGAGCCCCAGCAGCACCTCTGCATGTCTGCGTGTCCCCAAGCCTGCCCGCCACGTGTGTCTCGGGCCAGGCCACGTGCCGAGGAGCTGCCCGCCATGTGGGCCCTGGGCCGCCTGCTGGAGGCCGGAGAGGGTGAGGCCCGGCCTGAGCACCAGAGGCTCCCGTGGCCCCAGGGCCCTGCAGCTGCCGGGCGGCCAGGAGCTGGGGGACTCCCCAAGCCGAGCGTTGGTGCAGGGCGGCTGGGGCAGGGGAGGCCGGGGCACCCACCACGCCTTCCCTCTCGTCCACCCCTCATGCAGTTCCGACGCCGGAGGAGATGTCCAACCTGACCCCGGAGTCATCCCCGGAGTAAGTGGCTCCTGCTCAGAGCCTGATGCCCAGGCCGGCGGCGGGGGAGGGTGTGGGGACCTCCCGCACCCAGGGGGCCCCTGGTCCCTCCCCCCACCTTCTGTGCGGGCAGGGCCTGTCTTGGGCCGAGTCTCCTCAGCACTGAGTGCTGTGGGGGAGGGGAGGCGAGGGGAGGGGCACAGGTCTGTTCAGGAGCCACAGCCTTGGGGAGGGAGGGGTGCGCTGGGCAGAGCTCCCAGAGGCCTGGGCCCCCTGAGAGCAGAGATGGCTTATAGGGACCGCCGGGTCTTATGGGAGAAACAGCCTAGGCCCGTCGTGGGATGGGGGCCTGGCGGGAACATGTGTGCGGCGAGGGGGTGGCCTTGGCAGAGTCCAGGTGTCACGGAGCCGGGAGTGGGCACTGGGCAGTGTGGGCCGGGCAGAAGCCATTCTGAGCTCTGTGCTCACCAACGTGGAAGACCCGACAGACTCTGGACACCGGGGTGTCCCCATGGCGGCCGCCTTCCCAGCTGTCCGGCCCTGGAGAGAACCCTCCCCAGCACCCAGGCTCTCCACAGCGGCCTTTGTCACGGAGCAGTGTCTGGTGGCTGACAGTGTACACATGTGAACACGCGGGGTGACCCCGTCCGTGCAGGGCAGCCACAGAGAGCAGCAGCTGGGACAGGGCCGTGGGGGCCTCGAGCAGATGACCTCGGAAACAGCCATCGGGGGAGAGACCTCCTTCCTGCCTCTGGCCCTAAACAGGTCTCTGTGGGAAAACCCCCGCTCGGTGCTGAACTCGCCTGGAGTGGATCTGTGGCCGGGCCCAGGACCCCAGCCGACTTGGACTGAGTGGGCTGCTGTGCTTTATGGCCCGGAGGAACTGGGTTCAAGGGACGCTTCTGTGTCCACTGGTCAGGCCTGAAGTTGCCGTCTCCGCGAGAGTCAAGGGCTCTCATAAACACACTCATAATTGTATTTTTCAGAGAAGGTGGGGAAAAGCCCCGTAGCTCAGCACAGCTCAATGGCCTGTGCCTCTGCCCCCCCCCAACCCCCGACATGCTCTGGGGCTCGGCCCCTCCCGAGTCTACCTGCCAGCAGCCCCTCCTTGCTGAGGACGTGCCCACGGGGGCCTCGTCCCCACCTGCCGCCAGCCCTGTGCCCACCAGGGTCCTCCAGAGAAGCACAGCAGGCGTGTGCACCTGCGACAGGCGTGTGCACCTGCGACAGGCGTGTGCACCTGCGACAGGCGCTTATTCTCAGGAATAGGCTCGTGGGGCTGGAACTGGGGCGCCGGCCGACGTCCCCTCGAGTCTGGAACTGCAGGCCAGGGACTCAGGCAGCTCCACGTGACCATCCCCAGAAAAACTCTTGCTGCTCCGTCTTGTTCTCGCGAGGCCTGCGGCTGGCTGGACGCGGCCACCCACGTTGGAGGGACCCTGCTCTGCTCATTCGTGTTCCGTGGCAGCTACACCTTCACTGCAACGTCCCCACTGGCACCGCGGCCCCCGGAGTGGACAGCATGGACCCCCCACCGCATGCCTGCCAGGCCCCCCTCAGACACGGGGCCGTTTTTTGCCAAGCACCACACCGCTGGGTCCCAAGGAACGAAGTCTGGCTTTTATCAGTTTTCTTTGTTGCCTTCGTCGAGGGAGGAACGTGCAGAAGCCCAGCCGTGGTTTCCTGAACTGTCCGGCCACCCCCTACGTGGTCAGCAAACATTCATAGAGCGCGGCAGGTTTTCAGAGAGGCAGAGATGGTCGAGCACCAGCAGGGCCCAGACGCGGCTGCGCCTGCGCAGCTCCTCCCTCTTTGCAGCCCTGCCCCCCGGTCTGAATGGGAGCACTTGATTGGTGGAGCATGGGTCACATGTCCGTGCTGCAGAGGCGAAGGCGGCAGAGGAAAGCCCGCCCAGCTGTGCCATGTGACAATCCTGAGCTCACGGCTGCAACAGCGCACACTTATTATCGTGCCGCTCCCACGGCTGCACGGGGCCCTCCGCCTTAGGGCGCGCCGGGCTGCGGTCAGTGCATTGCGGGGCTGTGCATCGCGGGGCTGGGCTGGATCCGCTTCTGATCTCCCTCGGCTGAGGGTGGGATTCGGGTCCTCGCAGGCTGCTGGACAAAGGCTTCCATGTCACGCCGGCGGGGAGCCTGCCGGCCGAATGGGCATGCGCCCCTGTGGCCTCACTGAGAAAGGTTCCCAGGTGGTCCTGGCAGGAAGCGAGTCGCAGGTCTCGCCCACTTGGGAGGGGCCTCCAGGATGCCGGCGTCCCCAGATGTAGGGACGGGTGGCAGGATCCAAGGAGGGCTCCGGAATGAGAGCCAGGTGCAGGCGGGGCTGCGGCGGCACGGAGGCCTGTGCGCAGAGGCTGGCTCTCGCTGGGAAGGATGCCGCGGCCAGGCGTGTCCTGCAGTCGGGGGTGGGGCATCATGCCAGTCCCAGGGATGGGGACGGCCCTTCGCAGTGGTCTCTGGGAGCCGCCTCTGTTCTGGAGTGGGGGGTGCCCGCGCCAGGCCAGAGCCACAGGGACACAGGCAGCCGTGCAGCCACCGACCCAGGACAGGAGCGCGGCCCTGCGCAGCTGAGGCTGCTCCTCAGAGTGGGACGAGCTCTGCGCCGTCAGTGCTTGTGTGCGGCTCCCCCAGCACCAGGCGGGACCCTCTGCCAGGACGCCGCTGCAGGAATGCGCAGAGCTGACACTTCCAGACTCAGCCCCTTGGCCAGAGAGGCAGGGCTGGCGCAGGGGCACCCCCTCCCATCCCACTTCCAGCTCTGGGGACTGGTCAGGGCCCTGGGACCTGGTTAGGGAAGCAAGATTAGGGTTATGGCGTATGGGTTTGGGGTGGGCTTAAGGTGTTCAAGTTAGGGCTAGGGTGATGGGATCCGGGTTAGTGCATTTGGGTTTGAGTCAGGGCGTTAGGTTTAGAGTGTTCAGGTTATGGTTAAGGCTTTTGGGGTAGGGTTAGGGCATTTGGAGTAGGTTTGGGGTGTCTGTGTTATGGCTGAGGTGTCTGGAATAGGGTTCAGAGGTCTAGGTTGGGGTGTTTGGGGGATTTAGGGTAGGGCAAAAGCATTTGCAGTGTTTAGGGTGGGGTTAGGGCGCTGGACATGGAGGTTGGGGTGTGGGTTAGTGTTAGGGCATTTGGGAAAAGGCTGTGGGACTTGGGGCAGGGTTTGGTTGGGGCCATGGAGAGAGCTGTCCCCGTCCCACAGGACTTGGGTGCTCAGCAGCCGTCCCGGGTCAGGGCAGCAGGTGTGGACCGGGCCCCGCCACCCCCTGCTCACGGCAGCCTTGGTTCCTGCCCAGGCTGGCCAAGAAGTCCTGGTTCGGCAACTTCATCAACCTGGAGAAGGAGGAGCAGATCTTCGTGGTCATCAAGGACAAGCCGCTGAGCTCCATCAAGGCCGACATCGTCCACGCCTTCCTGTCGGTGAGCCCCGTGCAGCAGGCCGCTCGCCTGGACAGGCCTCGGAGGGGTGACGCTTCTCTGGGACCTGGTGGTGACGTGCAGGCCGCCATGCAGCCCCATGGGGGCAGGGCGGCAAAGGAGCAGCTGGGCATCTGCTGCCTCTGGGCAAACACCCCTGGGCCCGGGGCTCTGTCTCCTGTCTTGTCTTCCCACCACACTGCGCTGGCCTCGCTCTGCCAGTGGCTGTCCACGTCCCAGGCGGGACTCGCCTGGCTTTGCTGGGCTCTTTGGTTACAAGGAACAGAAGGGATGTGAGCCCCAGAGTCGCGTGGGGACCCCATGCTGGGCTGCCACGTGCTGGTGCCTGGCTGGGGGAGCCCCCTTGCCCCAGGATAGGTCCCCCTCAGGTGGCAGGCTGCTGTGCACCGGGCAACGGCAGGCCGTGGCTCGAGTGGCGGCTTCTCCAGCACGGGGCTGGCCTTACCCCACGGGACGTTGGTCCCTTGGGGTCCGTGGGGTACCCTGGCGTCCCTGCCCTCCGCCCACATTCCCCCCATGTTGATCCTGGTCGTGAAGGCTGACCTCAGACTCGGGGGGTGCCCTCGGCCACCCTGGGCATGGGCGGCCCGCGCACTGTGGACCCTGGTTCTGCTCTCCACGAGCAGTGGGCAGCCCCGGCTCCTGTGTGCGCGTGGGCAGGAGGGCACCGTCCCCCCCACATGGCAGGAAGCCGGGGTCCTGGCCCCTCGGGCTCCTCCACCTCAGTGCCTGCCCCCAACCCCAGCTGCGGGGCTCACTCCACCCCGCCTCCCCTTCCGTGCTGCCCTCCTCGCGTCCCATCTGCGAGGAGGCCCTCAGCCTGGCCGCGCTGTGAATCCCCCGGGCGGTGTGGGCTCTGCCGGGTGGGGCTGGACGCTTTCCCTGCCCTGCGTCCTCAGCCACGCTGGGCCCTGGGTTGCGAGGCAGCCTCGCTCACTCCGCCCCCCGCCCTCTGCAGATCCCCAGCCTGGGCCACAGCGTCATCTCCCAGACCAGCTTCCGCGCTGAGTACAAGGCGACGGGCGGCCCGGCCGTGTTCCAGAAGCCGGTCAAGTTCCAGGTGGACATCACCTACACCGAGGGCGGGGAGGCCCAGAAGGAGAATGGCATCTACTCCGTCACCTTCACCTTGCTCTCAGGTGAGCCGCCGGCCCAGGGGCGGCCTCGGGCCCAGCCCTGACCGGGGCGTAACCATCTTGTCTCCCCCAGGCCCTAGCCGCCGATTCAAGAGGGTGGTGGAGACCATCCAGGCCCAGCTGCTGAGCACACACGACCAGCCGGCGGCCCAGCACCTGGCAGGTGAGGGGCTCAGCGTCTGGGGCTATGGCTGTGCGGACGGGAGGCGTGATGACCTGGCCCCGCCGCCCGCGCTGCGGCTGCACCGCTCAGGGAGCAGGGCCCCTCCCCCGCCCCGTGGGCCTGGCCCCCTCTGCACCCCAGGGACGTAGGGCCCAGCCGCACTGCACTGAAAGGCGCCTCTTGTCCACCATAGAACCTCCCCCGCCAGCGCCAGGACTAAGCTGGGGTGCTGGGCTTAAGGGCCAGAAGGTGGCCACCAGCTACGAGAGTAGCCTCTGACGCTGGCAGGTAAGGCGTCCGGCCTGCCGCCGGGGCGGGGAGGGGCTGCGGGCAGGTCCTGAGCAGGGCCCCCCACGCCTGCCTGCAGGTCCCAGGACAGGCAAGCATGCCCCCAGGCAGCCGGCCCACCTGCTGGGCAGCGGACACAGGGGCGGCCTGCACAGGCCCCGCCACCTGGGGCACCCCCCACAGCACCTCACACGGGCCTCAGCTGCCCTCTGTGCTGCAGCCCCCCAGGCCCCTGCGTCTCCGGACTGCCCGGAGCCCGGCCCCAAGCAGGCAGAGGGGCCTGAGGCCCAGCTAAGGTGGGGGAGGGACTGCCTGGGCCTAGAGCCTCGAGGGCCCCGGAGCCCGAGGGTCTGCGGCACCCAGTGTCCGGCAGGGCTCCCCAGGGCCCACGAGTGGCGGGCATGGCGGAGGGCCGGGGCAGGTGCATGGGTGTGCGTCTGAGTGTCGGTGCGGCGGGGGTTGCTGTGAGTCACGCCAAGGTCAGCTCCATGGCGGGCTGGGCCCTCCGGGGACCCTTTGCCCAGCCTGTCTTCTCCATAGCTGTGTGGCCTGTTAGGGTCACCCCTGTGCCGCTATGTGGAGGCCGGAGCTGGCCCCACCTGTCCACCCCCACCATCCTCATCCCACCCTCATCCCATCACCTGTGGACAAACCCCCAAAACACTTACCACCCATAGGTGGGTGGAGGCTGAGCTCCCAGCAGCCTCAGCCCTAACCCCGGCCCCAGGGGCTGGCACGGTGGGCAGGTTCCCGGGCAGCAGGACACACGGGCATCTTCAGTGCTGGAGGCCGCACTGTCAACCTGTAGCAGCCTCTGACTCCTTGAGCTCTTAAGAAATAAGCCCTCTCTCTCAGGGAGGGAAACTGAGGCCAGGATTGTCTGGAGAGGCAAGCAAGCAAAGACCCAGGCTGGGTGTGTGCTGGTGGGTCCCCATGCCTGCAGTGACCACCACCGCCTGGGCACCATGGTCTCTCTCTGCTCCTGGACGGGTGGTGGGCTGGACCCCAAGCCCTGCGCCCTTTCCATCAGCACGTGGCCCCGGCCCAGTCCCGGCACCACAGTAACAAAGGTGGACGTGCCCTCCTGCGGGGCCCCCACTCCAGCCCTGCCCCCGACTCCTGGGTGCCTACCCTGGGCCTCATCTGTCTCCCCTTGGACTTGGGGAGCCCAGCCTGTCCCACTGTTGCCTCCCTCCCACGCTGGATGCCGTTGTCTGCAAGCTCAGCTGTGTCCCTGCAGGAGGAGTGCCCTCAGGCACTGCCCGTCCTCCAAGGGACCCGGTGGCCACCATGGTGGGGACCCCAGTTGGCCAAGCGGGAGAGGCGGAGGCCCCAGTGAGCAGGCTGGGTGGACACGTGAGGGCCTTGAGGGAACAGCCCCCACCCCAGGGCCCTGTCATCACCCAGCCTGGCCTCTTGCCAGCCTTGAGGTCCCCAGGCCCAGCAGAGGATGAGAGCGGGCCAAGAAAGAGGGAGCCCAGATGAGCCTAGGCTCGAGTGGAAGCCATCAGCCCAGCGCTGCTGAGTGGCAGAGTGAGGGTGCAGGCAGCCAGATCTGGGGCGACCACCACATCCAGTCTTCAGGCTCTGGCTGCTGGGACCCCTCAGCTGTCCAGATGGCTCCGCCCGCCTCTGAGCCTCGCCTCACTCAGGCCCCGCCCCCTTCTAGCCCCACCCCTTTGGGGGCCCGCCCAGTCCCAGCCCCGCCCCTCTGGGCAGCCGTCCAGCCAGGTCCAGGGGCTGCCTTTTCACTCTCTCCCCTCTTTCCATTCTGTGCTCCAGACACCACTAACTGTATGGAAATGATGACGGGGCGGCTTTCCAAATGTGGTAAGACTCCCCGCTCACCTGCACTCCGCCTGCCACGCCCACCGCTCGCGTGGCTCTAGCCACTGCCCCCATCCAGGCCGTGCCACGTCCCAGGTGTGGACACCAACGCCCCACAGCCTGGGCTCCCCAGCCCCAGCGCTCCCCACAGGCCAGCCAGGGTCCCCCCTGCAAGCTCTGGCCTGGGGACAAGGTAGACCCCAGCCCTCTGTCCACCGAGGGTCGGGGCCACCCACGCAGCCCTTCCCAGCCATGCTTGGTGCCAAGAATAAGGGCCTGCAGCTGTAGGCTCAGGTGGGGATCAGGGTTAGGAAGTGGAGTTGAGGTGCCCCCGGCAGCCCACCTGGGCGGTGTGCACAGCGCCCCAGAAGGGAGTGGTCACCCCGTTTCTGCCCATTCCTCCTGCCTCCGAGACTAGGGACCCGCCTCTGGCTGCCTGCCCCAGCCGGCCCCCCACACCCTCCACGCCTGTCCACCCATCTGTCCATCTGTTTGTCTGCTGCTGAACTCCACGTGGCCAGGGGCTGGCTCCAGGCCTGGGGGGCTGTGGCAGGCACGCCCTCCCCCTGTCTTTTGAGGGGCGCTGGCTCCAGCCTCCCCACCCCAGGGCAGGCCTCGCGCACAGGGTGCTGCTCGGCCTCAGGGCTCCTGGCAGGCTCTGGCATTTCGTTGCCACTTCCAGGCCGGGGCCAGCCAGCCAGCCTGCACGGCCAGGCCCCGAGAGGGAGAACGGGTCTCCCCACCTGCCCCGGGCCTCGGCTCTCCAAAGGCGCCCTGGGTTCTGGACGGCAGCCGAGGTGCCGAGGTCCTGAGCTGGCCTCTCGGCCCCTGGCATGCGCAGGGACCCCCGCCAGCCCCTGCCCTGCTTGCCGCCCGCCTGTGCCTGCTCCGCGCCCGTCTCTGCCCTCACCTCGTTGGGTTTTCCCTTCTCTGTGGAGGCCCCTTCGTTCATTTGTTTGTTTGTTCTTTCTCTCTCCTTCCCTCCCTTCCTCTTTCCTTTTCTTTTCTCTTTTTTTTGTCTCTGTTCTGTGTACCCAGGCAGCCCATTGAGTAACTTCTTTGACGTAATTAAACAACTTTTTTCAGACGAGAAGAACGGGCAGGCGGCCCAGGCCCCCAGCACGCCCGCCAAGCGGAGCGCCCACGGCCCACTCGGTGACTCCGCGGCCGCTGGCCCTGGCCCTGGAGGGGACGCCGAGTACCCGGCGGGCAAGGACATGGCCAAGATGGGGCCGCCCTCCGCCCGCCACGAGCAGCCTTAGACACACTAGCCCCTTCCCCAGCACAGCACTGACAGCGGCCGCCCACGCCCGCCTCTGGACCGTGGCTCCGGAGCCGGGGAGGAAGGAGGGGCACGGCGGGCCGCGGCCTGCGGGCTGGGCCACGCGCCCGCTCTTTCTCTCTCGCGGTCTCTGTCTCTGCCCGTCTCTGACAGCGTCACTTGTTTCCACTCTTGATACCAGGAATTATCCCGAAAAGCTAACATGTCACCTCCTCGAGGCCGTCCTCTGTGCCCTGCGCCGGACACTGGCTGACCGAAGGCAGCTGCTGCGGACCTGCCCTCCCTCCGCTCCTGCCACGGCCGGGCAGCGAGGCCCCGCCCACCGCCCCGTCCGCAGCCCGCGTGGCCCGAGGGAGGAGGCCCTGGCGCCCAGGGGAGGCCGCCTCCAGGGCAGGGCCCCCGCGAAGCAGCAGGAACCGCCCCGCCGCCTGGCCCACCGCACCGGACGCCCCAGCCCCCGGCCCCCACCCGCAGCCTCGCTGTCCCTTCGCACCCACGTCCTGCACCTCGCCTGGGGGCCGCGGGCACCGCCGACGTTCCCATGGAAACAGAGACGGGGTCCGGGCCGGCCAGGCTGAGGGCAGTGTCATGTGTCCGCTGTTTTAATTTGCTGAGTGTCCTCACTTCTCTGTTCAGGGAGGGCGGCCCCCGCCGAGTGTCCCCGGCAGGGGTGGGGGGCCCGGCGCCCTCTGAGGACTCGAGGGGGGCGCAGGGGCAGCGTGGATGCAGCGCCAGCAAGCTACTGTAAACTTTAAAGAATTCCTGCAAGATATTTTTATAAACTTTTTTTCTCGGTTGTTTTTGGAAAGGGGTGTGGGGGTGGGGGGCTGCTGGGCAGGGCCTTCGTGTTTCAGTTCCCGCTCTTGGTATTTCTATACACATACATATATATATTTAAAGATCCGCGCGGCGAGCTCCACCCGGGCTGTTCTGTTGCCGGGGGATGGCGCCGCCCGGCCCCCGTGCAGGCCCAGGCTGGGCGCTTGAGTCCGTGAGTGAAGGGCAGGGAGGCCTGGAGCCGGCCCCACACGGGATGGCAGGTGCACCCTGGGGCTTTTTTTATTAAAATGGAAAAAAGTTGAAAAAAAAAAAAAAAACAAGACAGAGTGGGCAGCGTGACTGCGGCGTGTTCTCCTGTACAGAGCAGGCTGAGGCTGTGGCCGCTGCCCACGCGCTCCGCCCGTCCCCACGCCCATCCGCGCCCCCTTCTGTCGGGGCGGCCGGGCCCCTCCCGCCGGCCACGAGCCGCCCCGGCGTGGCCGCGGGCGGGCAGCGCGGCGCAGGTGTCGTGCATGCCTCTGCTGTGACCCGTCCTTCGCTTGGGTGTCCCCGTGTATAGATTTTAACGCTTCTGTTAACATTAAACCTCCACCACAGGCTGGGATTTCTATACATAAGACAAATTAAACACCTATAACAGCAAAAGCCGCACAGCGCGAGCGGGCAGGGGCTCTTCCACGGAGACCGAGGATTCCGACAGCAATACCTCTCGCTAGCCTTCCTCTTTTGTACTTCGGACACACGCGGACTCACGCAGACGTCACGGAAACGGACAGCCCCACCTAGTGTACCCCTGTCAATAACTGTGAGCAACTTCAGTTCCGGAACAATAAATTCCTTCCGTAAAGACACCTGACGCCAGGTCTTCCTCCGGGCAGGGCGGGGAGAGGGGGCTGGGACAGCTTGTGACAGGCCTGTCCCCGACCGGGGCCCCTGGGGCCTGCCAGGTTCGTCTGGTGCTGCTGCTGCCCGGCTGGGCAGAACAGAGCCCTGTGCGGGGGCCACGCAGCCAAGGCCGCCACCACTTCCGACATCTCAGGATCTTATTCAGGGCAGGGGCTGGGGAGCAGCACCATTCTCGCCTCACCAGGCTGGTGCGGGGTCACCCCAGTGCCTGGGCTATCCCTTGAGAATGAACCTCTTTCCTGCCTGCTGCTTGGCAAGAGTCTGGATGGGGGGCACCATGACCCACCTTGGCAGCCCAGGGCCCGGGCTGATGGGCCAGAGAGGGGAACAGTCCCCACGTGTCCCACACACAGGGTGGACAGGCGGGGGCCCCAAGACCACCCCCTCGGCTGCAGTGCAGAGGATGGGCCCAGCTCCAGAGCCACGGAGCTCCCAGCCACACGTACCAAGGGGGCGCCTGGGAATGCTCCCCAGCCTGGAGGACTCTGCCCCCCAACCTGTCACATGCATACTGCCCGTGTGTGGAGGAGGATGCTGGCACGGCTGGCCCTGTAGCTACAGGCAGGGCCTGACCACACCGGCCATCTGTCTACACCGGCACCTTCCCCACGGCACACTGAAGCCTGGGCTGGGTAGCTTTCTGGGAGGGGCCCCTGGGAGCTGCAGGTGTCTGTCCACCAGATGCCAGCGGCTGTCCCCACGCTCTTGAGACAACCAAAAATGTCACCAGACGTTGCTGTGTGCCTCCTGGGGGCAAAGTCGCCCCTGGGTGAGAGCAGCTGCCCAGAGGTGAGCGCCCCACGCTTGGCCGGCGTAGTGAGCGCCATGCTCTGCACACCGGCAGCTACCACCAGCTCAGGCTTAACGCCCCAGATGTGGAAGGTCTGAGGGGAACCAGGGTGGTCCCCTCTGCCCCGCCAGTGCCTTCCAGGGATGGGTGCCCAGAGCAGGGGCGCTCAAGAGGCCCGGGGCTGAGGTCTGTTCCAATCACAGGACTGCAGAGTTCACCAGTTAATTTTAGCTTAAAAACTAGGTTCAGGGAAGAAACTTGGCTGCCACGGCTCAGCAAGCGTGTGATCGCTGCTGGCCACAGACGGGAGGTTTTCTCAACCTCTCCGGAAGGCGCCGACACCGTAGCTCACCACCAGTTCAGTAGCTTAGAACACAAATTTCTTACAATTCCGGAGTCAAAACCAGGTAGGTCTCGCTGGCCTAAAATTAAGGCGTCGGGGCAGGGGGGTGCTGTTCCTTCTGGGGGCTCTGGGGAGGGTCCGCTGCCCTGCCTTTTCCAGCTCCCAGAGGTGCACCCATCCTCCACCCTCAGCCAGGACAAGGGCAGGGCCCTGGTTCTCCCTGGTCTGCATCTAAGGGCTTGTGACCGCACGGGCCTAGGTAACCTCCTGGCCTCAAAGCCGGCTGGCGAGCAGCCCGCACCCATCTGCCGCACTCACTCCTTTGCTGTGTGGTGGCGTACCGGCGGGTCCACAGATGACAGGTGGACACCCCCCACGTCACAAGCGCCAGTTCCCTTTGCCAGACAGGTCTCACTGCTGCGCGTGTGAGGGGACACCAGGCGTGGCTTCAGCACTCCCACACGCTGGGAATCTCCCAGGGCAGAGCCCCGGCTGGCGCACAGAGACCCTGCTTGCCCCCACGTCTCAAGGCTGCCCTCACCTTTGCCTCCAGTGGCTCGGGCACCTGGACGCCCCGCTCCACTATACCGTCACCCAATTCTACACCTTCCCGCGGCGAGTGTGGTTTCCTGGGCTGCACCCGCCGTCCCCCTGAGCCCGCGCTGACAGCCGCACTTCTCCCAGCCTCCGCCCCCGCCCAGCCCCAAGACCACGTCCCCGTTTCACGTCTGTGTGAGCAGCGCCTCACTCCTGGACCAAATCTGCACTGTGGTCACCACACACACGCAGGCCTAAGACGAGACGGCCTGTTCCCTCGCAGCTCCGGAAGTCGGGAATCCAACATGGGTCTCCCCAGGCTAAGCACAAGGTTCACAATGTCCACACCTGTTCCCAGGTCGGTCCTTTCTGGAAGCTCGGGGGAGGACCTGTTTCCTTCCTTTTCAAGCCCCCGGAAGCTGCCTACATCGCTTGTCCATGCCGAGGAATCCCTCACCCACGTGTGAGGAGCCTCAAGACACCAGCCACCCCAACAGGCCAGGCTCAGCTCCTCGTGCCAAGTCGGGTGATGAGGAACCTCATTCCCCTGGCAGCAGAGGGTCGGTCACCTGTTCCCACCTGTTCTAAGGATTAGGACCTGGACACCTCCGGGGACCACTGTTCTGCCTGACAGAGGAGAAACTGGGAAACTGGGCTGGCTGAGGCCGTGGGGGTGAGCAGCTGTCGGGGACAGGGCTGCGACTCAGCCCTGGGTCTGTCTCGAGCTGAGCACTCGCCACCGATCGCCATGGCCTTGCTGCAGGCAGAACCCAGGGGCTGGCCGGCCGCCCCCTGCACAGGCAGAGACACTGAGGCAGGAAGGCTTCCCTAGGCCGAGCTGGCCAGGACTGGGTCTGGCAGCAGAGAGCACGTGGCACCGGCCCCTCAACCTCAGCTGCCACGGCCAGCCCGCCACTCGCAGCCCACGGGAGTCCCACCCCCAGGATGTCCACAGGCCCCAAGACCGGCGCTCTGGCCCAGGGACCCGCAGCTTCTTCCTGAGCGTGGCGCCACTGGGGCCGAACGCGTCCTGGACGCCTCCCCAGGAGGTCGGGCTCCATGTGGGGACAGGTCGCTCCTCGTGCGTTGCCCGGCCCCATCCAGCAGCTCCGCTGGAACCTCAGTGTCCTCCTGGCACCGCCAGCCCCACGGCAGCCGCCAAGCCCAGCTGCTCCCTGCCGCGCCCCGCCCCCGCCCTCCCACTGGCCTCCTCGGGGCAGCCGGGCCACGTCCCCAACACACAGCCCCAGGTGTGTCTGGACTGCTCCCCACACACCCCTGGCCAGAGAGGACGGTGCCACCAGGCCACAGGCACTCACCGCCACCTGGCCCTGCTGCTCCCCGAGAGGTCCATTGGGTGCCCCAGGCTCCCACGCCCAGCCCCTGTGGTCAAGTCCTGCAGGTGTCCTTTCCACGCACAGATGGGCCGTGAGCCCAGGGCCTGTGTCTCCAGGGACCGGCTCCAGGTGCGGCCCAGGGCCAAGGCGACAGCAGGGACCATCGTCGGGGCAGCAGGGCCAGGCCATGAAGACCTCAGGCACACTCAGACGTCCTGGGGATCGGGAGGCAGAGATGCGGGGGAGCGGTGGGGGGCCTCTGACCCCAGCGGGCCCAGGGCTGCTGACGGTGACGGGGCTGCAGGAGGGCCAGGAGGGCACCGAGACCCCGAGGCAGAGAAGCCCCCCAGGCCACAGGCACGCCACCAGGCTTCACCCTCACCAGAGCCCCTCCCTCCCCCCAGCTGACTACAGTCCCAGACAAGTTCCCGGATTCATCCGGAGCCCCCCATTTCCTCCCCAAAGAGCCCCCGGCTCCTCACTGGCCACGCTGCCTGGCCAGGAGTGGCCCCCACAGCGGGCCCCACGCCGGGCTGGCAAAGCCCCCTTCCCAGGGTGCCCCCGACAACCACAGCCACGTCCCAGGGTCCTGCCACCTGCACGGGGGAAGGGGACGGTGACACTGCACATGTGACCCCCACAGCACCTGCGGTGAGGGGCGCTGCCGGCCCCTGCTGGACCTGCCCCAGGGCTGCCTGCCGGAGGGAGCGGCCCGACCCCGAGCCCAGGCCCTCGGCGCCGGGCGCCCCTGAGACGCAGAGGACGCACACAAGGCTCTGACCTGAGAGAATTCTTTTTATTACGAGTGAACAGATGAACTAAAATAAGCGGATTTCTGCTGACAGCTGCATCTCCTCACAGCCCCATCCCAGACCCTGTGCTGGGAGGCAGCAGCAGGAAGGGCTGGCAGGAGCAGGCACACCTTGAGGGCCAGCCCGGGCCTCCCGAGGCCGAGCCTCCCGCGGCCAAGGCGCGGCGAGGCCGGCAGGAGGGGGAGTCCCGGGGCTCTCTGCAGGAGCAGCCCACCCACACAGCAGCGCAGCAGCCCCCGTCTGCAAAGCAAGCCCCTCAGAGACCCACCTCCCAGGGGTTCTTCCAGACCGGCACGGCCCCCGGGAGGGCAGGGGCCACCTGGAAGACCAAAGAAAGGAAAACCCCACAGAAGAGAACTCAAACGTCAGTCCAGGAGTCTGTTGGATGGATGGATGGATCGATCCACGGCTCTGCTCCACGGACGGCACCCGCCCACCCAACAGGGAAGCTGTGCAACACGTGCGGCCCCGGCGCGGCCCAGGAGCCCACACTCCGCGCTGCCAGGCCCCTCGACCTCGCCGGCGAGCGTGCCCAGGCACGTGTGCGCACACGCAGACACACGGAGAGAACACGCAATCGTCTCTTTGCACATGTGCACCTGTGTCCGGGGGGCTCACCTCTCCTTCACGTGGTTCTGTGCCCCTGGGCCCCCGCCGGCCCCGCCCCCGCACAGCACCTCGGTGAGGTCGTCCAGCACGGCGGTCTCCTTGGGGTCGAGCAGGCCGAACTCCCTGGCGAAGAGGATGAAGTGCGCGTACAGCGTGTTCAAGTGTCCGTGCAGCTCCAGGGCCAGCGTCTCCTTGAAGTGGGACCAGTAGATGTGGCCCAGCACGTGGAACAAGTACTTGCAGATCTTCTTCACCAGGGACTCGAAGGAGCTGGGGAATTCTCTGCCTGGGGGGCGGCGGGGGGGGGCAGCATCGTCAGAGGCTGGCAGATGCCCGCCCACACCTGCCACCCGCTCCCCCAGGGCCTCTGCCCACCAGTGGGTCCCCCAGTGACCCGCCCCCCAGCCCTGGGCTCAGCCTCTGGGGACTGCAGCTGCCCAAGGGCCAGGTGCTCGCCACACAGCACCGGCCACCCACAGCCAGGGACCTGTGACGGGGCCCAGGGACCCCGTGCCCCCCAAGGACAGCCGGGCGCTCTGCAGAGCAGGGCTGAGGTGGCAGCGCGGAGGTGCACGGGCGCCACCTGCTGGCCGCTGCCGTCTGCAAGGCGGGAGCCAGGAGGGACCCAGAGTCTGGGGGAGCCCTCGACCCAGGCTGGCTCCCCTGCTGGAGGGTCCCGCGTTCTCTCCCACCACCCGGGATGCCCGGCCACAGCGCGCGAGAGCACGCACCGTACTTGGTGGGGAACACGTCCTCGTCCGTCACCAGCTTCTGCACGGAGCTCATGACGAAGTCGACGTACTGTGGGGCCGTGCACTTCACCTTCTTGCCCCGCTCATCGTACCAGTGGTACTGCCTGTGGGATGGGGCGGTCAGCGCCAGCCAGCCCGGGCTGCCCACCCCAGGGAGCCAACCCCGCAACCCCACCCCAGGTGGCTCTCCGACAGCCGGGGGAGTATTTGCACCCGGGAACCTGGCAACAATGCAGCGGGCTGTGCCAGGAACGGCGCCCAGCCGTGCCTTCCTCCACCCGGCCCCCCAGAGACCCTCCCCTGCCCAATGCCCCCCCTCACCCTCCTCACCAGGCCCTGGGCAGGGGTGCTGACCAGGATGGAGTCCCTGAGGCTGGTCCTGAGCACCACGCCTGGTTCTGGAGCTCACCCAGCACCATGGGGAGATGCCCCCGAGAGCCAGCATGGCCAGGGGTCCACCCTTCCGCAGGACTCGGGCCCCACCTCCCCCCAGACCTGGCATCGGGACAGCAGGCCCCTTCTTGCCAGACGGGTAGTGGACACAAGAGGGCCTGGGCGCTGGGATCTCCAGAGGAGGGTCACCAGCACGCCGGGGCCTCCCTCCACAGAGACCCCGCACCACCCACCATCGGGGGAGGGGGCTCTGAGGTCACCACTCTGCTTCAGCCTGCAAGCCCCTCTGCCATATGCACCCTGGGTCCCAGGGAGTCGCCAGAGCTAGAGAGAGGCCACAGTGGCGAGGGCACCCTCAGCCCCGCACACCAGGTGCACAGCGCAGCCCCCACCTTCGCCAAGACAAACGGCCGGGCCGGTGCCCCCACCTCCAGAATACACGCCAGACGGGCGGAGTGTGCCTTCGGGGGCTGAGGAGGGCTCCAGGTAGGGGGCTGAGGAGGGCTCCAGGTGGGGGGCTGAGGAGGGCTCCAGGTGGGGGGCTGAGGAGGGCTCCAGGTGGGGGGCTGAGGAGGGCTCCAGGTGGGGGGCTGAGGAGGGCTCCAGGTGGGGGGCTGAGGAAGGCTCCAGGTGGGGAAAGCACAGACGCGTGAGGGCAGGCGTGAGGGGAGGGACACGCATCCGCCACGGGAAACACTGCTGTCCTCCACCAACACCTGCCAGGGCTGCGGGCATGGGAGGTGCCCACCTACGGCGCTGGGCCGTGTCAGACCCTCACAGCGTCTGCCCCGAGGGAACCGCACACGGGACTGATGAGCCCTCCCTCACGCACCGGCCTCTCTGGGGAGCTGCTCACGTCCTCGCCCACGCCGAGCTGGGCTGCTTGTTTCCTCGCTGATGGTCGAGTCCTGAGAGCTCTGCACGCCGCGCCTGTGACTGGCGAATACTTTCCCTCGCAGCCCACAGCCTGTTTCCTTAAAAGTGTCTTTCTCAGAGAAGTTCCAAGCTGGGTGGAGTCCGGCGTCTGGACTCTTCTCCATCAACGGAGGGCACCTCTGCCGTGAAGTCCAAGCCTTGTCTGCATGTTGCACACGGATGGCCGGAGTCGCAGCTGCACTTGTGAACAGACCACCCTCTCCCCAGTGGACTGCCTCTGCAGTGCGTGCGTCCAAACTCAAAGGGCCACGTTTGGTGGCCTTTCTGGACTCTACCTCGTCCCACTGACCTACATGTCCTTCCTTCACCAACACCAACTATCTTAATTATTGTAGTTTTAAAGTGACTTTTAAAATTGTGGGATTCCTCCAACTGTAGTCTGTTTTTGAAATTGTTGTAGCTATTCCAGTTACTCTTAAATTTTAAATTTTAGAATTTAAAATTTTTTTATTTTTTAAATTTTAGAATTAGGTGGTCTACATCCTCAAAAACTTCACTGGGATTTTGATTGAGATTGCGTTATCAATCTGGGGGAAGATTCACATTTTCAGTATGTTGAGGCTTCCTGCTGATGACCACAGCATGTCTCTCCATTTACGTAGATCTTTGATTCCCTGTGCCAGCATTTTGTAGTTTCCAGAGTACAGATCCTGGATTGTCTTAAGTTTACATCTAAGCATCTTGTCATTTTTGGAATTATTGTAAACGGTATTTTTAAAATTTCAGTTTCCAATTATACGTTGCTAGTATACAGAGCTGTGATTGGTTTGTGTGTTAACCTTGCTAAATTTACTCTTTATATTCTTTTTTCTGCTAGAATCCTCGAGGTTTCCACAACCACGTGCAAACAGGACACAGCAGCGCCCTCAGCCATGGGGGCATGTTGCAAGCCTTCCAGTGGGTGCCGGAAACCAGACAGCGCTGAGCCCTGCACACTACGTGTTTCCCTAAACTGCCTATGGTAAGGTCGAAAAGGCACAGTAAGAGATTAACAGCCACGACGGAACAGGAGGGCTGCTGGCTGCGCACACTTCTGTCACCCCCTTGGGGTCCCCTGCTGATGTCTGAGCACAGGCTCAACACGCTGCCGCCGGCCGGAACATGTCTCTGCATGCGCCTTCCGCCCGCAGATGTGACACCATTTCCATCTTAACTGGGCACTTGAGTGCACCGTGGCTGCGATTTTCCCAGTCTGAGGTGTGACGCCAACACTTGCAGGAATTCCTTTCTCCCTCTTCACGGTTTCACAGTGAGGAAGTTCATTCTTGTTGTACATCTAGGCAACCGCAGCACACGATCTTTTTCTTTCCTCGTTGAGAACTTTCACCTTTTCATTTAAAAGCAGCACTTGACGGCTTCTCCGCGGCGTCCCCACATTGCCAGCTTGCCACCCGTCTGCGTGGGGTAGGGTGAACACGACCACTGCAACCCAGGCAGGGACCGACGCCCGGAGACTGGGAGGTGGCACCGAGGGGACGCCCCCCTGGTGGGATGGAGCAGACAGCCCCGACTGCACCACTCAGAATGGAGCACTTTGAAACACGCGATCGCTTACTTCTGAATTTTTCCATCTGGTATTTTCAGACCATGGTTGACCTTGGATAACTGAAACCGAAGATAAGGAAAGACAATTCTTTCCAATCTGGACGTGGGCTGTTCCCTTCTCTTGCCCTGTCGCGCTGCCTGTCTTGGGTGAGTTTTGGTATTTTGTGTTTTCCGAGGAATCAGTCCATTTAATCTGAGCTGTAGAATTTATGTGCACAGAGGGGTTTTTGCAGTGCCTCCTCATCACCCTCCCAACACCCGCTGGGTTTACAGGGATTCTCCCCTTGACTGACGATCTGCCTCTTCCCTCTTTTACATCCTACTAAAAATAAAGGTTTGTCCACTCTGTTGATCTTTTCCAGTAATCATATTTTGGTTTCCTCGATTTCCTCTGCTGTTTTCAGAAATCAGTTTTCATGATTGCTGCTCTTGCGTTATTATTTCCTTCCTTCTGCTCTATCTGGGTTTATTTTGCTCTTTTTGTAGTTTATTATGATTGAAGCTTGGATTATTGAGTTGAGATATTCTTTTTCTAAAATAAGCATCAAATCCTGTAAATCCCCCTCTCAGCACTGCTGTTGCTGTACCCCACAGATTCTGAGATGCTGTGTTTTCATTCATGTACAGTTTAAAACCGTTTCTAATTTCCCTTGAGACTTCCTCTCCGACCCATGGATGATTGAGAAGTGTGTTAATTTTCAAGTGTTTGAAAATGTTCCTGCCACCTTTCTGCTACTGAATGATGGTTTAACTGCATTACAGCCAGACAACTTCGTATGATTTCAATTCTTTAAAGCCTGTTAAGGGCTCTGTGTGCAGGAAGTCATCTATTTTGGGAGATATTCCTTACGAACCTGGAAAGACAGGCGTCTGCCGTGCAGGCTGGGATGCAGCTGGGGGAGGTGACATCAGCTGCACGTTCCTGCTTCCTGTCTGTCCACGGGGTCTGTCCATCGCCGAGGGGATGTCAAACACTCCAGCCATTGTGGGATTCTCTCCCTTGCGGTTCTGTCAGTCTGCTGTGTGGAAAGCCTGTTGCTCGGTGCACACACGTTCAGGGTCGGCATTTATTCTTGGTGCACTGACCCCTTTCACTCCTGGTTGTTTTCCTGCAGCACAGCTGCAGCCACACCCACCCCTGACAGTGTTTCCTGGGGCGACCTTCTTCCACTCACTGTAACCCACCTGGCAAGTGGCTCTGAGGGCCCTCTGAGAAGCCCTTGTCCCCTTGCACTAGCCTGTCCCCTTGCACTAGCACTTGACCTCAGACGACTCCTAGGCAGGCATTTTACACGGTGTTAATTCTCAGGTCTACAACCACCCCGCGAGGCAGGTGTCAGAGAAGACTCGAGCTGCGGGGAGGTGGCCCCAGCTCTCCAAGTGACACGTGACAGAGCCAACGTCCAGACACAGGTCTGCCGCACGCCAAACCCCACACTCTCTTGAGAAACCCTTTATGAACGAGCACACAGCACAAGGGCAGGGCGGCTGGGGGGAGCGCAGCCCCCGCCCTGGCGTGGCCAGCGAGGGTCGTCCTGAGCCCTGTTGGACGCACGGCCCTCGGGCACTGCCCTGGCCACCTCGGGATCTGCCTCCGTGTCCGCTCTGCGGACGCCACTCTCGCCCAGGCCGAGCCTGCTCCAGCACCCTCACACGCTGTCGTCGTCTCCACGCTCCCTGGGCTGTGCCCGGTTTTGACAGCTGACCTTCCCGGGGAACTGCTAGTGGAGAGCAGCTATCATCTGCACTTGCCCCACGTCACCCGGAACCAAGCTGGGCCACACCAGGGGCTTCGCAGGGCTGAAGCCGAAGGGACACCCACCACCTGCCGGTGTGGAGGCCCGGTGGGCTCTCGAGAGCCACGCTCAGCTGTGTGGGGACCACTTTTCCCCGTGCCAGGAGCCTGCAATGCCGCGTCTACAGGCAGGGGGACTCTGGGCCAGCACCCACAGAGGTGTGTTCACAAGCGAGTGTACCTGTCCCTCACCTGCGGTGTGCTGACAACCAGGTGTCAGGAAGGAACTTCCGACCCCCTTCGGCCACACCCGCCCCAGCTGAGCCCCGGCAGTCAGCCCCTGCTTGCAGCCCCCCACCCACGCTAACTCCCATCCCAGCACAGAGCCGGCGGCAAGCCTGTGCCACACGGTGCCTCACAGCCGCTGCACGCTGAGGGAGCAAACATGCACTTCCAGAAGAAAGCCAGCAGCACCAGGCCTGCTGGGGGCTCACGGAGAAGGCGCCCAGGCTCCATAAAGCGTGCTGGCGGAGAGGGCAGCTGTCAGCCTGCTCAGCCCAGCCCTGGGCCTCCCCCAGGCCCACCCCGAGGCCTCAGGGGGAGCCAGTGGAGAAGTGTTTTCTACTGCACGGGCTCCGCAGCCGCAGGAAGCCAGACTTCGGCCAAATGTTGAAAGTCCCTCCCCCTAGACACACAGCCCATCAGCCCCACCAGCTCCTGGCATCTCCCGAGCCCCAGCAGGGCCCCGCGTGGCCAGGCCATCGCCCCTCAGGGGCAGGAGGACACTGCGGAGCAGAGCCTGTCCCAAAACGTCTCAGGGCCTCCGGGTGAGAAGGGAGCGGGAGGACAGGAGCCGCATGGCCCATGCGAGTCTCCTGGAGGACCCAGCGTCACCAGGTGGCCACTCACGTGTTGCACACAGCCATCGTCTGACACGTCTCTCCCGTGCAGAACTCAGAGATTGTGCTGTACTGCAGGTTGATGTGGTGGAAAAACGTCGTTGCTGGAAGAGAAGAGAGGGACAGCTGTGAAGGCCACCAGGCTGGGCCGCCCGTCACGGCCCGTCCCGTCCCGCTCCACTTCCAGTCAGAGCACAGGAGCTCCGCTCGGGAGCTGCCATCTGTCCTGGGCCCCGGACGGCAGGCAGCACTGCTGGGCACTAGTTCAGGGGTCCCCTAAGATGGGGCCCACGGGGAAGGGGGACAGCCCCCCGGCCCACGCACTGTTGCTGGCCAGCCACTCGTTGAGGTCGATCTCCCGGGGCAGCACCACCAGCTCCTTGAACTCGAAGTCGGTGATCCTGGACTTGGTGTGCTCCGGCTCCAGGTACATCTTCTTCTCCTCCACCGCTGGCTTCTTGCCGTTGGGCTTCGCCTTCGACTTCCTGCCGGGAGCAAAGGGGAGAGACAGCATGGTCACCACGCGCCCAGCCAGACCCGACCACTCACAGCAATGTGGGTGCAGAGGGGACCCGGCCAAGCCCAGCGGGCACCAAGACTGAGGCTCTGCCCCCAGGGAGTGCCCGGCGGGAGCCACCTTGAGTGGCTCTTTCCCTGGACGCCACAGCCTGTCTGCATCAAGAGCCAGCCCCTAGCTGGCCTTCTCCAAGCCAGGGTGGATGGGGAGGGGGCAACTGGGGCCCTAGGCCCAGCCCCCAGACTCCAGGGCTGCCCCAGGGAAGACGCAGCGCAGGCCTCGCGCCAGGGCACGCTGGGCACCTGCCTTCCTGAGGAGGACGCAGGCGGTGAGGCCAGCCAGGGTCCACAGCGCCAGGAGGCGGCCTGGCCTGCAGCTCTGTGGGTCTCCATCCTCCCCCACCCGGGGGGGCCACGCTGGGGGTGTGGGGATAAAAGGTCTTCACAGCAGCCTGACCCCGCCCTTGTTTTTTCCTTTCTTCTGTTTTAGAAAGTTGTGCATGGTTTATTTAAGAGAAAGGAAGGAAAAATGCTCCCTGAATGCCAGGGAAATGTTTCCCTCTCAGCTTCTCACAGCAGATCATCGCCTTAAAAGGCGACGTGCGCTTGGCCTCCGGGGCAGTGCCGGGAGCAGCCAGAGCCAGGCAGGGACGGGGCAGGGCCCACCCCTGGGGCACCCGGCACAAGTCCTGGGGGGCGGATGCGCCACACGCTGTGGGCACTCGGGTCCCCACCATGCAGGGGGATGGCACAGAGCTCTGTCCACAGCCCTGGCCTCTGCCGGGCCCTGCCCAGGCGTCCACTGCAGGGTAGGCTCTCCCCAGCCTCCCACCTGAGCTCCCTGCACACCTCGTCCCGCCTGTGCCAGCTACACGCTGGGTTTGGCTCCTCTGGAAGGGCCACAACAGCTCCGCAGGGCAGTTGGAGTATGGCCTGGGCTGCCAGGCAGGCTCCCTGCTCTGTGGATCAAGAGCTGTCACCTGGTGAGCTATAGGCAGTGGTCACACAACCGATCACGAGTGCCCGTGTAGCTTGCTGTCATCGCTGCACTCTCGGTTTCCTGTCAGAGCTCGTTCAGAGAGGCTGCCTCGCAGAGGTCCTGCCCTTGCACCAGCTTGTTCATATCCGAGCGGGACGTGAGCTCCTTGTCCCACCTGTTCTCAGACAGCACCAAGCAGGGCAGCACCCGGAGGCCTGGCTCCTTCAGACGGGGCCTCAGGGTCAGGAGGCAGCCAGCAGCCACCACTTTGGACACCAGGGCCTCAGCCTCTTCCCCCCGCCTGTCTGCGCCTGCCCTTCTAAAACAAATAGGCCCCAAGCTCTGCACACTTGGAGACAACCCTACTGCCAGCCCAGGCCTGGAATGAACCCATCTCCTTCCACTCATTCCCCCGGGGCACGGAGACGGGGCCCAGCCAAAAGGCAGCAGGACCAGGGCTCTGCCCTGGGAGCTGTGCGGTGCCCACATGTAGGCTTCATGGGAGGGGTGTCCCCCTGACCTCGAGTTCTCTCCTCCCGGGCTCAGCTCCTCCGAGGGGAGAAGTCGCCCTACCCAGCCCCCTCGCTGCCCACCAGCTCCAGCCGAGCCCCCTCGCTGCCCGCCAGCTCCAACCCAGCCCAGCCCCCGCCTGAGACCTTAGAGCATAACACTCCGTCCAGAGTCGCTCTCAACCTCACCAGGTGGGGGGACAGAAATCTGAGCCCCCTCCCCAAGACCACAGGCTCTGAAGGGAGCTACGTCTAGTGCAGGCCCAGTCCTGGCCTGTGTACTCCAGGAGAATCGCCCTGGCCCTCCCCCTGCGGCTGTGACCCCAGAAACACAGAAGGCCCAACACGGGGCATGGAGGGAGGGCTGGGGGAGGGCCTTGGCCGTGGGCAGTACGGAGGCTGCACCAAAGGCCCAGGGAGTGGACGCCAGGCCTCGGCCCACCCACAGGCTGCTGAGACTCCCAGAGAAGAGTGGCAGTGGCCATTTGTGCAGAGCCCCATGTCCCTCCCCCAACAGGTGGGCTGGGCCCACCTGCCACACACCGGCCACTCCAGAGGTGCTGGCCCCACTGGTATCACCTTCCAACTGTCTCCACACGCCCACCCGGCCTCACCGCTCTCCTCCCCTGCACCTGGTGCCTGGACCAACACAGGCGTCTGCGAGCCCCACTCTCGGGCACACGCTGGGCCCCTCCGCTGACACGCGTATCTCACGCCAGGCCTGGCAAACTCCCCTGGCCCTTTAAGATCTGCCAAACATCGCGCTCCCCATCCCAGCCAGTGGCACCCGTGACGCTGTGCCCGCCGGCCTCCCAGAGAACCAGGAGCATCGCGGGGGCAGTGGACAGGCCGGGGAGGGTCGGTGTAGCGTGCTCCCAAGGACCACCGACAGCCACACGCCTCCACGGGGGAGGACCCCCAGCCTGCAGGCAGAGCGAGCTAGGGAAGGGGCTCTGAGTCCCTTCTGCTCCTTGCCCAGCCCGAAAGCCAGCGCAGCACAAGCTGGCACCACAGGCCCACGCAGCAGGCTCTCGATCCCACCAGCACCAGAAACCTCGGCCGTCCGCCCACGACCCACAGGGAAGGAGATGCTCGGGGCACAGGATGCCGTGGGGCTGCCCTCGGTGCTGGGCAGGGGCTGGGAGTCCCCAGAGCACAGTGCAGGGGTCAGCTGTGCCCAGTGTGGGCGGGTGCAGGCGCAGAAAGGAAAGAAGGGCTGCACCCCCCATTCTGAGGCTGGCCCCCCCAAGCGCTGGCCCTGGGACCATCCCTCTCTCCGTGGAGTCTGCTGGCCCTCCTGGCCCCATGCTGTGCCCGCACGCCCTCTAGGAAGGGGCCCAGGAGGCACTCGTGGGAGGTGGGAGACGCCAAGGTCTAGGGTCGGGACGAGCAGGTCGAGGAGCTGCCACCAGGGACCCGAGGACATGTGGGAGGCTCCCCTCAGAGGGCGCGGGGTTCTTGAGAAGAAAAGGTAAACTGGACGGCAACCTTCCAAACCCAGCGTTGAGGGGCAGGCCTGAGGATGCTCCAAAACCAGCCTCCCCGGGATACATGGGTGGAAAGAAGAGAAGGGCCGGTGTGAGAATAGGCCCGCACCTCCGGGAGAGCAGCTCCACTCAGTCACCTGCAGCGGGAGGTCGGGGCAGGAGTCCGTGCCGGTCGGCCTGCCCAGAGCCCCGCAGCCAAGGCTCCTGGTGGCCCCTTCCCCTGGACCCGCCAGGCAGGGCCCTGGTGACCACCAGCCCCCAAATGCCCCGAGGCTCCATCCCATTACCCGCCGCCAGGCAACCTGCAGGGAAAGCAGCTCTGAGCCTCCGCCAGTGTCACACCCAGCTGTGCAGCACCCCGTTCTCAGGCAGCGGTCAGGGAGGAGCCTGAACACGTGTCAAGAACCCCCCTGGACAGTGTTTCCTGGGGCGCCATCCCAGGTCAGACACAGATTTCCTGACAGCACCCCCACAGCAGCTGACAACCGGGACCCGGGAGCCCCAGGACCCTTCTCTGGACAAGGCCACTCAAGGACAGGCTCAGGTCACCCTGCTTTGGGCGGCTGAAGCCCCTGCCCGGGACGAAAGCAGCTACGCTGGGACAACAGGCCAGACACCTGCTGGTGGCAAAGGCCCCGTGCCCAGTGGGCTCCTGTGCTGGCAAGACACGGTGCAGCCGGACGGTCACCCACTCGGCCACGCCCTCCTCCAGAGCAGCAGAGGGGAAACCCGCTCAGCAAAGTTGCTGCCCAAGCCCAGCCCCTCTCAGGCAGTGCACGCAGGCAGCCAAAAGGCCGGCCCAGGGCTACCAGCTGCCTCTGCGCCAGGTGACACCAGCCACCCACCTGCCCAGCACAGCCTGCTGCGTGGCCACAGACGCCATCCACTGCCTCCCAAATAGACTCCAGGGGATAGTCAACAGACGCCTACCCCCGCCCCAGCCCCAGTCCAGTAGGCAGGTGTTACCTGAGCACTCTGCTGACTGCCTGGAGCACGGACTTGCAGCAGAGCCCAGGTGTGGGGGACCGGCTGGGCAGGGCTTGGTCTGCGGGGAGACCGCAGTGGTCTCTAGGCATGACGTGGGGGTGCAGGACGGGCAGGCAGGGCAGGAGCACCAGGCAGTGGCACTCGCAAGCGCCTGCCAAGCGCCAGCTGCCACGGCCTCCACCCTTGCTCCCCGGCCAATGAGGACGCCAGGCAGAGACAAACAGCGGCTCCCTTTACAGAGGCAAAGGCCACCACAGCGGGTTACATCGATTGGCCCTTTCAGAGTGGCACGGGCAGGGCAGGGGCGTGGCCAGTGCCTGCAGCAGGGCGGGAGGGAGGGGCAGTCCCGGTGCCAGTCTGCGGGAAGGGCCTGTCAGAGAAGTCCTGGGCCGATGGTGCACTCAGCCAGGCGCCCCCAGCAGGGGACACATGGAAAGGCAGGCGTGCCCGCAATGGGTCCCACCAGACAGCCTTGGTGGGACATCTGGTGGGACAGGGGCTGACCACCGCCTGGGGTCTCGAGGGGCATGGAGGGGGCGTGGGCAGAGGCCGCCCCTGCAACAGCCGGCCTGCTGGCCAGGCATGCAGAGCCCAACAGACACATCTGGACACTCTCAGGGGGCACGGGGGCCTTTCTGCAGCTGTCTGCACACAGGAGCCCCCCGAGTCCTAAAAAGGGACAGGCCTGAGAGGACAACGCCGCATCACTCCGGCTCAGTGTGGACCCCGCGTCAGTGAGAGCCGGCAGACAACACAGGCTCTGCTCACACTCTGCCCAGCGATGAGCTGCTTTTCCTGCTTCCAGCCAACGGAGAGACCAGCGTCTCAGGCCCTCGCCTTTCAGACCCCGACCAAGCGCCTGCTTGCTGGGAAGCCCCCGTCAGAACCATCCGGAAGGCAGCAGCAAGGGGAGGTGGGCTCACAGCCCTCACAACACCAGCTCACACCCACGCACAGAGCACACTGCCAGCTCCGACAGCAAGCCTCCCCGGCCAGCTCCCTGCTGTAGCACGGTGCACATGGTTTTCTCTGCCCCGCAGGCCAGCCCTGCAGCCCCGAGAGCAGAGCAGGGCTCACCTCTGTGCACCGAGTGGCCTGGTAAGCCAGGGAGCAGGAGAGGCAGGGCACGACACCCTGTCCCCTGAGCTCGGCGGGCCTCTGCCGCCGAGGCAAGGGCATCCCCTGCCCCGTGATGTCACAGGGACCCGGTCACCACACTCACGACTGCCGTCCATCACGGCAGGCACAATCGATGGTGGGGACACAGGCCCAGCGGGACACCCGTGTGGCCTTGCTCCAGGCCAGGCGAGGCTCCCGTGACAAGAGGGTGGAAGAAGGGACTGGGACACCACAATGCCGGGACTGAGTGTGGGATGAAGCCTGCGGGCCGGGCGCACAGTGCCAGAGAGGGCGGTGCAGGTTGCGTGCTCAGGGGATGGATGTTTTGGGGGGCTCTGGCTGCCATGAAAGAGGGGCCGCCGGAACCCAACCCGGGGAGGGTGGTGCTGAGGGGAGACGTGGAGGGGGACAGTTGGTACGTAAACCCCTGGACCAGGCACCAGGCGGAGTGGGGGAGGGGGACTGCACATCAGAGCCACCACTCCCGCTGGGGACTGAGTGCAGGGGAGAGGCACTCAGGGCCCTGGAGCCTCCGGCAGGCCCAGCGGTCTCACAAGTATCACCCCAGCTGTGCGACCGTCCTGAGAACACCAGGCTGGACGGAGAGACGCTGCCTGAACGTCCACACTCGCTCATGTTCCTCCACAGCAGGAGATGTGCAGAGGTGGCCCCACCAGAGGCAGGTGGGAAGGGAGGGGCGCTGGGCAGCTGACGCCTGATAACAGGTGAGGCGCAGAAGGCCTGGCCAGCATATACAGAGCGCGAACCTCAACTTAATCTTTTCTGCCAAAATGTCAAAAAATAACACACTTCCACATACTTTACTATACCTGACTGGCCACAAACTTTAAACATTTACTACGCCAAGAGCCCCTACCTCCTCTTCTTTTATGCCTTAACACACCTCAGCCAAATAAAAACAAAATTATACAGTCAGAATCCCAGCCACTGGGATGAGACACAGCCATAGGTCTACATTAAAAATAAAAGATAAAAAAACCTATAATATTGCGCTGGCTGGCTACTCTAACTGCCACTAGGCGCCCTTCTAATAAAAAATAAAGGTTTCACGTCGCCAAGACAACTTACGACATCTGACTACTTTCTTAAGGACACTGCGGGTCATTTCTGACAGGCAGGAGCAGCACAGGAGGAGCACAGGCGGGAGCAGGAGCACAAGCGGGAGCAGGAGCACAGGCGGGAGCAGAGCACAGCCGGGAGGAGGAGCACAGCCAGAAGGAGGAGCACGGGCGTGAGGAGTACAGCCAGGAGAAACAGCATGGATGGGAGGAGGAGCACAGCCGTGAGCAGGGGCATAGCCGGGAGGAGGAGCACGGCCAGGAGGGCTCTGTAGACTCCAGGAGGGCTCTGCAGACTCCAGGGGGGCTGCAGAGAGGCCCAGGCAGGTGTGGGTGCAGCCTGGCCCTCCCTGCCTAGAGAAGGAACCGCCAAAGCACACTCAGGACAAAGCCAGGGGAGTGAACACAGAAGGGGGCGAGAGGAGAGGACAAAACAGACAGGGCAGGACGCACAGAGGTGCAAGTGTGTGAGATTGTTTTATTTCTAACAAGCTGTTGGTTTTAGAGTCATTTCAGATTTACCAAAGTTGCAAAGACAGCACAGAATCCCCACAGACCCACACCCACTGTCCCTACTGCCGACCCCTTACGTTAGGACAATGAAGGAACCAACGCTGACATGCCATTATTAACTAAAGCCCAGACTGATGCAGATGTCCTGTCTCTGTCCCAGGCCCCCATCTAGGACCCCCATGACAGGGAGGCGTCCCGTCTCCCAGGCTCCTTACTTCGGAGGCAGCCGTGGGGGCCGGGCTTGGTGTGTGCAGGACGCCCCTTCGGTTGGGTCTGGCGTTTTCTGCTCGGTTAGACTGGGCTGTGGGTTTGACACGAAGACCGCAGCCCATCCGGGCCCGTGCTGCAGCTGACCATCGCGCTGGCGCTGCCCTGTCAGGTCAGGGTCCTCCGCTGAATGCGGGAAGATGCTCTCACATCCCTGTCCACACTGCGCCCTCTGAGAGGTCGCCACGCGTGGCCCACATTGTGGCGTTGGGGAGCTGGGCCCTCCACGAGGGTCCCACGCATCGCCTAGAATTCTGCACAAGAGCTGCCTCTTCTCCCTCACCGACTGACGTGCGCAATCCCTTGTGTACGTCAGAATGGACTCGTGGGTGTCTAGGTTACACTTTGAGTCATCATGCAACACTGCCTCATTTTATTAATCACGCTGTTCCGTCTGTGGGCACAGGGAGCTCCTCCAGGTGGCTCCCGCGCCCATCAGTGGCTCTCTGGCACCGTAGGATGCCCCAGGCCCTGCCCGGGCCCGAGATCAGCCCCCTCTCCCAGGAGCCCTGGTTGCTTTTACTGGAGATTATTAAAAACCGAGATCTAGCACTGGGTGGGCTTGTTACTACGGGGTGTCACTGCCCCTGGGCCCTCTCCACTGGCAGAGCACGGAGACCCACGTGTGTGCGCACACCTATACACTTAAACCTCCACCTGCGTGCAAACACCTGCAGCCACGCTGAGCTGGCGTGGGTTCATCACGACATCTCCAGCCCTAGGTTGGCACGGGGATGGCTCCAACCTCACCGCCCCTCCAGCAACGGGACACCTCTGTGGAGACAACAGGCGAGGGAGCTCAGGACTGCGGACGCAGCCCAGCAATCGCACCTGCTCCCTCTAGGAGGCAGGAGGCTTGGGCCACGTAAACGGAAGCAGGAAAAAGTTTCATGGTAGAGTCCAGTGAAAATCCAAGAGTATAAAGAGGACAATGACACCCCCGTTAACAATTAAAACATTCCAGAAAAATATACACATAAAACAGATGAAGACTGTAACCCACTAAATCAGAACATCACAGAAACAAAGCAACTTAAGATCCAAAAAGAGGCAAAAGAACTCCAAGTAAGAATCAGAAATGGGAGGTGAACCATTTTGGAAATGAAGTACGAACTAGAAAACACAAAGACTCAGGCACCGTAAAAGTAGAGGATGTGAAGGAAGAGCTTTTGTAAATAAAAAAGGAAGGGAGCTCCACTCCCGCCCGTGACAGAGTGACTGACACGAGACACAGCTTGCTCCCGAGCAGCACGGATGGAGCGGCAGACCGCGGGCAGCAGGCGGCGCAGGCCACGAGCACAGGGACGTGCGTGAGGCAAGCACTCACCCCGCACCCCAGACTGCAGTTCGGGAAGGAGAGCGGGCGCAAGGTCCGGGAAGCTGCGTGGCAGGGACCCACCCCTGGGTCTCCAGGGCTGCGTGGTGCGCCGTGCTGTGCACCAGGCAGGACGGGGCTGCACAGCGAAGGAGCTCTAGAAACGGGAACGGATCCAGTCCAGCATCTGGCCAAACGCTCAGCTGAGGGTGCGCAGGACAAACTTCTGCAAGGCCTGGCAGAGAACTCGACGCTCCCACCGCTCCCTCGGGCTGTCCACCAGCCAGAGCTGCCCGGCCTGGTGACCTACGCGCAGGCCGGAGTCACCCCCCCGGGTGGGGGCTGGGCTGTCACCAGGCCACACAAAAACTCTCCAATGTCAGCCTCGACATGAACGCATGATCCCTTCTCTGTGACTGACATAGGCACCACACTCTGGACTTAACAGAGCTCGCTCCTGCGCAAGCCCAGCTCTGCCCTCAGCACCGTCCCCGAGCTGTGCTCCTGGCGCACCGCGCCATCCCCAGAGTCCCCAAGGGGCTTGCCCAGGCGTCTCCGTGTGTGCCCTGAGTGTCTGTGGCCAACCCCCACGTAACTGCCCTCAGTGACCCTGCACAGAAACCACACCTGTCCCTTCTCTCCCCCGCCAGAGACACCAGGCAGCTGGGAACAGCGAAGCCAGAGTGCAAGCCCAGAGAGCCTCGTGACCAGCGACGCCACCCCTGTCCACAGTGGGCAGACCCTGGTCCGTGCCGCAGGGCACAAGGCACCTGGTGTCTGCGGACGTTGACAGAAAGCTTCCTCGCGATGGAAAACACACCACGGCTGTGCGTGGTCCCTCCTCACACCACAGCCCACAGGAACCTTGTCCACACCGGCGGAAACCACTGCTGCCC